CAACTTGTGATGCACAAAAAAGTCCATTAGCATGTTTCTGTAAACCCAACAGGAAATCCGCCATGTTGGAAAAACCGCGACCATGCCGCTATTACAGACTGTTAATATGTGACATCTTCTGTATATGGGCCCCAAATGTCAGTCTTCCTCGATTGCCAATAATCAGCATCGGTATCGTCACCGGAAAACCCCTTATCGGTCAATCCTTAATGCACACACAAAACAAATTAAAAGCTTCTGTCTTTTCTTTCTCTCTGCGTGTCCTCTTGTAGTTTGGAAGCAGAGGTGAGGCAGATTGATGCCACTGTGGCGTCTCTGCACCAGCAGCTGAGCGAAGCCAGAGGCTCCCTGTCCCACCTGGAGGAGTCACGCATGGCGCTCGAGAAGGACATAAGCTGTAAAACCCACTCGCTGTTCATCGAGAGAGAAAAGTGCATGACTCACCGTAAACGGTACCCGACCGTCTCAGCGCTGTCAGGATACTAAAGACGATGAACTCTGAGTGTTTGTGTGCTGGTTTTGCTTTGTTTGTAAGTTTCAAAAATTTGGGTTGCTTTGGATCTTTGTTGCAGAGTTAGTAGAGAGCAAATCAGTTGTTCTTCATTTCATTTAAATATCCATGTAGTGCAAAAAGAAAAAAGAAATGTTAATAAATGAGAGTCGTCTGAAACTTTTTATGAGAATAATTGTTTAAAACTGTTGCATCAGTTACCCATCTAGAAGTATAAATAAGTGCTGTAAAGGTGAAAGTCAATGTGTAAAAACAGGCTAAATGCAGATAAAACAACCAAAAAAAAACCTCGTAGTTACAGATCAAAAGACTGCAGAATCTAAGCTTGTATTTTTAGACTGTCAGAAGATCAGTTCTACATGAATATTCAATGGTTAAACTGGGAAAATACTAACATGCTGCAACAATGAGGGGATTAATGTGGTCACAGATTTGACCCCAGTCGTGCATCCATTCACTTTGTTGTGACTTTGTTTTATTTGATTTCATAATGATTACAGTAGATGTGTTCAGGTGCAGTAAACTTATAGTACATATCGCTGCCATCCTCATTATCATAGACGTGACTGTTGTGCTGTTCAGAGGAATCCCACATTGCACACACCTCGGATCCTTGATTTTCATAAATCTAAAAGAAAAATTGAAAAACCATAAAAAAACAAAAGCAAAATCATCATGTTTTAACATTTTTGGCATAATATTCCAACTCAAACATGGTTGCAGTAATCCAAGGAAAGTTGTTTTGTTCACGGTTGTTTTGTTTGTTTTTTTTTGCTCCACTAGCAGCAAAACAAATAGAGAAGATGTTGATTGTGGGTGATTTACTCTCTCCAGCTGTGTTCCACATGTAATAAAAACAGGAGTCTACAGGAATGCTAGTGGCTCTGTGAGGTCCAGCAGGGCTTCATGCTAAATGCTAAACATTCAAAGGACATGCTGAGGACATGAGTGCATGTACCATCTGTATAAAGCCCTTTAATTTTAAGGGATCCCACTTCCATTCCAAGAATTTACATCCTTTACTTTAGTAAAAGTACCAATGCAGCATGTAAAACTACTCTATTACACCTGAAAGTCCTGCATGAAAAGTATTGTTGTGAAATGTTTAATGGGAGAGGAGGAAATCCAATTTCAGTTTTTGGACTCTGTCTCTAATCTGGGATTTTTGGTGACATATTAGATCATTTAGACATTCATTGAAATGAAACCATGTGACCAACCTAGAGGGGAAAAAAATCAATATTTGGTGAAGCTGTGAACAACGCATAGATGTCTGAAATGTGCCCCTGACTATGCTCCAACAATGCATTATATATTAAAAACTGGTTATAGTATCTATGAGAAATCTTAATTGCAAAAGCAACTAAATGTAGTGGAATAAAAAGTGCAATATTTCCCTTTGCAATGTAGTGAAGTAGTTTAAAATGGAAATGGCCAAGTAAAGTACCGTAAAATCACAGTTACCTTCCACAAACTTTACATTTCCTGCACCGGTGACAGTAAAACCAGCAGTACGATGTTTATTCTGCCTCTTAATGAACATTTTAACCAACACTGCATCCTCTGAAAGCGTCTAACTCTGTAAAAGTTGGTCTTTTTAAAATTTCCTTACATGATCCAAAAACTTTGCTTCTCCTGCTTCAGTGATGTTCTTTGCTTTCATGCTGACGTCAGAACCTGGAGCAGCACAGAAAAACACTGGATTACCGTACAGTGTGTGTGTGTGTGTGTGTGTGTGTGTGTGTGCGTGGATGCATGCAAAACGTACCTTTGTAACATTTACATTTGTAAACCGTGACCAAAGTTACTGTCAGTATGAGCAGTACAGCCAGAGATGTGGGCAGAACGTAAGCCACAATGTGCAGAATGGTTGCAGCATCTGAGAAAAAAAACACAAAACAGAATGAAAATGTACACTTTCAGTATTACACGCTTCCCATATCGATAATTACAGTTTCTTTAAAAAGCGGAAGTAGCACCTTTGACCTCTGAGCAGTCGGTGTCTCGTGTTCCTCTCAGCTAATGAAGCTACGCTGTTAGTTTCCCACGTGTTTGCATGGACTGAAGTGTGCACATTTACATTAAAAACGTGATGTATGATAATAAACTTTGATTAAAACAGCCAGACCTGTTCACTGGTTTGCTGTTATAAAGGACAATAGAATATTTCCTCATTAGAAAAAGAACATGGAAATAATACTTCAAGTGTAACTTAATTGCTTCAGATTATTCAGGTACTAAACCTCCGCAGGCAGCCCAGTTATTAACACACTCCATGATTTCCTCTTATTTTATGGGTTCAGGCATCCCGATTAACAATCACACACGTTACATCCTCGTGCAGTCAGGCTCTGAAAGCATGCATGGAGGCATCGCTGCAACATCTTGAAAACATACAATCTACTGAGCTTTAAGAGCATCATTCATTTCTGTTTTCTCAAGTTAGTCTCCGACTATATCAACAGTTTAGCCCCAGAAACAATTTCCTAATTTATCCAAAGACAAGACAGCAATAAAGGAGCATGATTAATTAAATATGACTATGTCTTAGATCTAGATTTGGACAATTAACCCTCTCCAAAAGTCATAACCAAGTGAAATCTAATTAAAAAGCAAACCAGATCTGAAGGCATTTTTGGTTATAGATCTGTTTTTTCTATTTCTTGTGTTCTTGCCACCTTTTTGTTTCACAGTTTGTCAGTTTTGCCTCATTCTGTTTTCCCTTTGTAACTCAAGATTTCATCTGGACTCATCTTTCCTGTAACCAGCATCACTTCAGACCCCATTCGTTGTTGTTTTTCTGTTTCCTTACACATCCTAATTATTGTATTCTGCTACAAGCATTTCATTGCACTTTCATTTCTGTAGTATGTTGTGGCTTTATGAGAAGCTGTATTTATTAATTGTACTTTCTATCTAAAGGCCCAGAGGAGCTGAAAATTACAAATAGTTATAACACTCACTGTGTGGCTCTTTCCTTTCATGCTATGTATCAAAAATATGTTCCTTTCAAATAAAATCTATTTAAATTCAAATATTCTTTAGAACTACATCCATTGTGATGAAATAGTTATATACTGTACATTATATGTGAAATGTTTCAGTTTACTATAACAGGATGGGGTATAACCTTTGATTTCCAGCTCAACAGCAGAGAAAACATCCAATCCGGTGTTTCTATGGACGCCACAAAGGTACAACCCAGAATCCTTTTGGGTCAGACTGCTTATGGTTACTGTGAATTTTCTGGACTCCTTGTCATCAGTTAGAACGAACCGTCCGCTTTGTTGGTGGTCAGAGGTGATCAGTGCCTGCTGCAGACATGTGGACGGCTGCTTCCCCCTGCAGACGTACTTCAGGTTGGTCTCGTGCTCAGAATCATACGTACAACTGAAGGACACCGAATCTTCTCCGTCACTTTGGATTTTGGTCACATTGTCACAGCAGCTGTCTGTCAGTAAGACACAAACAGCATCAGAAACTGTGCCAAGCTTCAACAGTTTCACCCAGAGAGGATGATTATTGAGCGTGTTTGAAATCTAACTTAATCTTCCAAACATAGAACAAAAACGTATCATTTTAATTTACCTGGTACTACATCCAGCCTGACTTCAGTGTAGATGTCCCGTCCAAATCTGGACACCCCACACCAGTATTTCCCAGCGTCCATATAAGTCAGCTCAGAGATGGTCACCGTAAAGAGTTGTTTGTCTTTGTCATCATATATGGAGTATTTGTCCTCCTTTGTTTGTGTGATCTTATCCCTTTCCCTGCTGCAGTCGTTCTTGCAGAAGTACTTCTTATTAGACTGATGTGTTCTTCTATAGTGGCAGGAAACATTAGCTTCTCTCCCTTCGTATCCAAACACACGTAGCACACCTGCAGCACTGGTCACACGACTCAGAGGAACTGGAAAGAGAAGGCAAAACCTACATATATTGTATCAAACACCAATCATCATGACAGAACAGTAAGATAAATAGCTTTAGTCACTTGTGTTTGCTAGGAAAAACACCTATTTTTTTTTATTCTTTAGAAGAACTTACTGCAGAGGAAGAACAGCAGGTTGTGAACGCGCCACATCTTCACACACCACAGCTTGTAGTGTACGAAATGTTGACATTTGGTTGGGGGAGTGTTAAAATCTTTCAGTTCCACATTTAAATCATGACCTCAGAGTGTTGCACTTTGGTTTATATTAGTCAGATGTCATTTCCTGTCTTGCAAACTTTTTGAAGTTACAAAGTTGTTAAAACAGATAGCTGGATAATTGGCGTGTAACAAACACGGGCAATACAAATAAAAACATGGAAAACTCAGTTAGAATAAAGAACAATGACAACACAGATAAAACTGCTGTACTGTAAAAAGTGTATTTGAGCTGCAGTTGTAGTAAATTGTTATGTCAAAATCAATCTCACTTGTCTCTCTGCTGTTAGTGAGGGCAGATTACTTTTGTGGATCTTATGAACTAGAGTCTAGTTCATTATTTCCAAGTATCTAGCTACGAGACACTTGATACAGAAGTGCAAACATTTGTTTTACTACTTCTTTAGAACTCTCTTTCTAACGTTCATGTTTCTTTTAATTTTTCTGTTGCGGTTTTCTTCTGGTAGGATTACAGAATAAACACAAGTAAAGAACGGTGAATCTGATGACACATTTCTGTTTTAAATGTTACATATGGGTAAAGCAAATACTTAAGTTGGGAAAACTTGAAACTTCAAGTTGACTTTTCTCAAAATAAAGTTGCACTAATCCTTATTTGACAGTAATTAAATAATTTAAGTAAATCCAATTTAACTCAGTGGAACTCATATTACTTTCTAATTTAATCTAGATTAATTTAATTCAGTTGCGTGTTATCAATCAACCATTCAACTTTAACCCCTTTTTTTAGTGTCGGTTGAAAAGATAGATAAGTGTTAGTATCAGGCTGGTTTGATATCAAGTAGTTACTGATTCAACTGATTTATAGCAAATGGGATAATTGGGGTTTTTTTGCAGATATTTTACACAGAGAACTCTGCATTTCTGTTGAAAATGGGGGAACTGAAAGTGGTTCTTCAGTGGGTGGGATGAGTAACCTAACATTTTAGGAATCATTCTTTTAACCAAGTTTCTGTGTGATGAAATACTTGACGTTGGTTGCAGTCTAAAATTGCACTGCCAAGTGTATCTATAATGGAAAGATTATTTTTTGTCTTTAGCAGTCAGACATTTAAACCAGGATGCAATATTAAAAATAAGGATGATGTCTACTGTTATAAACTTCTCTGAGAATAGGTTGGCTGACCTTAAAGGTCCTCAGTTTGTGTGCTGCAGAGAATGTTTCTTGATTCACTGACAGCTTCATGCCTGGTTATTATTTCTTATCTGTAATTCCACATTATTCCACAGAAATAACAGAAATTCTAGAGAAAAATCATCACACGTTTGAGATTCAAGTTGTAGTGGTGGTTTACTCCACTAGAGAGCGCTCTTGTTCCTTAATGTCTCCTCTCTCATCACATCTCCTTACAATGAACTTTCCTCCACCACAAAAGCAGCCTTGAAGTCTAAAGGAAACATCAAACTGTAAAGTGTCACAACCACTTGCACATTAGGATGTTCCGGGAAGTTTGTAGCGCTTGATATTGATGTTAAAATACAATATTCATGTTGCTTCTCTACTGAGCTGCACTCAAACCTGTATAAAGACGAGTAAAGTATTTCAGTCGAAGGGGAAATTAAAACACAACTCTACATAAACTAAAATGTATCCACTGACTTTTAAAGACACATCATTTCTATAGATTGCATAAATCGCTGTATATTCTTATTATATTCATATGTTTCATTCTCATTAAGTGTTAAAGCACCGAGGAATCATCTTTGGGAACGTTTGCTCGTCTTCATGTAATCATAAAGCTGCCATTCGTCTCTATTCTTAGACAGAACTTGCTGCAAGTGAGGAGGTGCCACGACTGAGGATGTTATGAAACGCAGCTTCATGCAAAGAGTTCAGACATGCAGTTTCATTCTTATTGCGACGCACATAGTATTTATTTTATGACACCACTAACTGTGGGCACGGTGCAGTGCCAGGACCCTGTGCGCGGATGCATTTGTGTGCGTGAACATATGATTTTATCATTGTGTGGGATTAAAGAGCTCACAAGTCTTTAGACATCAGAGGGGAATGGGACTGTTTTTTTTACATTAAAGATTATAAGACTGAGATTATGAGACTAAGGATTGGATAAGACTTTGATAAGCAATAAAACAAATGCCAATTGATTGGACTAGGTTTGGCAAATAATAAGGGAAGAAAAAGAGGAGAGATCCTTATAAAATCATGGTCTTTTATAAGTTGAGCTCACGTGTCCCATGTATCCAACCATGTGATCAGCCTGTAAGTAGGTGGTTGGTGCAGGAGTTCAACCACCTGCTGCATATGTAAATAAGTGCTAACAAGTTTGCACTAATTGTTACAAAGTTGACTAAATGTTCAAAGCTAGGGGGGCTACTTCTTTTTCCAGATTTTCTTTAATGGGCAGTATGTGATGGAAAGTAGAAACGTGACCAGACGCGATGAAAAAAAAAAAAAAACAACCTTAAATGAATAAAATGGGAGGGATGGATGAAGGAGCAGATCAGAGGGAGTGACAGAAAAAGAAAGAGGGAGGGAGGAGAGAAGAATAGAGGGACAGCAGGACCAAACTCACAGCCTTCCTTTCCTCCAGAGCTCTCTCTCCCTTCCTTCTCTCACTGACTCCAGGCTGAGTTCAACAGATAGGTGAGTTCAACGTCAGCATTTTTCTCTTTCTTCTCTTCAAGTCTCCTTTTTCTTTCACACTTTGTCATTTTTTTGTCTCAGTTTCTCCTCTAAAACTGAAGACTTCATCAGGACTCACCTCTTCTCTGACTTACTTCACTTCATTAGTCTGAGGTACAACTTGTACTTGCACATATTTGTGTTGTTAAATATGTATATAAAGGCATTTTATCCATATGTAAAGATTAATTCACAATAATCTCTCCCTTTCTTTTGATTACTCCTTATCTGTAGTTTTTCCTTCACTGTTGGAAGATAAAGTTTTTAGAGGTCAGCCAAGGATGAATTAATCATTGCTCATTAACCAAAGCATCTCTCACAGACGCAGACCTGCTGCCTTATTTATGTGTGAGAACATTTTTATGACAGTGTTTATTTGCTTTTGTGTCTGTTGGCTAAATACATGCAGCTAAGCTTGAGGGTTTGCGGAAAGCCAGGGTTTCCGTTGGCTGGATGGAGAGGCTACTTTTAGCTTCGGTTATTACTCCCTCTGCCCTGACTGGTTCAGACTGTTTCTCAGGCCTCCAACTGTCCTTTAAATGACTCTGATTATTTTAAAGGGATAAAAACATCTATCAATCTTTCCTTTTACTGTGGAATGTCCCATTAGGGTTAGAAGAGAAGTTTCTAATTATATGTTATGTCAGCGTATGGAATGTGAGTTCTGTGGTTTTGCGTGATTTTTGGGATTTTTGTGGTAACATGTGCATATTTATTTGGGGGCTCCTGCTTCGCATGCATCCTCTGTTTTCCGTGCTTGTCTTCATCCTAATGTCACACTGTTTCCATCAACCCCCTTTTTTCACACCTCATTTCACTCTTTTTTTTTTTTCTCCCTCCAGGATGCTGTGCCTCAGCTCCCTGTCTACGCTCCTCGTCCTGCTTCTCCTCTACCCCCCTCCGCTGTCTGCACAGGAGGTGCTTGTACGTCTTGCAGGCGTAGGCCGACGCGGTGCAAACGAGGGACGCGTGGAGGTGTTCTACAATGGAGCCTGGGGCACAGTGTGCGACGATGAGGTGGACCTTAACCTGGCCAATGTTGTGTGCCGACAGCTGGGCTTTCAGCGTAGCTTTACCTGGGCGCACAGTGCCAAGTTTGGCCAGGGAGAAGGTATGTCCCGCCAAGAACATTCAGCTATGAATTGATTTTTCATTTCTCTTGTTTCGGTGACTCATCGCCCTTTCTTGTGGTAGGTCTGATCTGGTTAGACAATGTGCACTGCAAGGGTACAGAGCTCTCCATTGCAGAGTGTCGCTCCAATGGTTGGGGAATCAATGACTGCACCCACGCTGAGGATCTAGGGGTCATTTGCAGTCCAGAAAGGAGAGCCGGTTTCCCTTCAGTCTCTTTGGAGGGAGCCCCTTCATCATCAAGGAACCAGCCGAGCCAGCAAAGACAGAGAAACCCGCCACCACCACCACCACAGTCTGCATTACCCCCAGCTCCACCTGCAGCCCCAGCCTCTTCCTCTTCAAGAGGTCATGAGATTGCCCTCCATCGCAACCCGACGTCTTCCCGCCGCAGCAGCATCTCCCCGCAGGAAAATGGCCATGAGATCCAGATCTTGCGACGGAATCGAGGCGGTTCGAGACCAAGCCAGCAGGTTAGCTCTGCGTTGCCACAAGGCCATCAGCTACCTTCACGTCTGGCAAACGGCGCAGCCTACAGGCAGAGACAGGAGAGTTCGAGGACCAGTCCACAGGCAGTGAGACGGGAGGCCGAGGGGCAGACAAACAGGCAGCCTCAACCTCAATCTCAATCCCAGCGCCAGCCTGAGAGGAGGAATCATCAGCTCAGTGGGAACCATGTTGAACCAGACCCAGTTTACCCAGACACGGGACTGGAGACTGATACACAGTACATACAGGTAAAAACACACATGCACAGACACACACGACCTCTAGTACAAACCAAAGAAGTAACCCAGTCTAGATTTATACAGACTCATACTGAAATGTCATCTGTGGAGCCACAGGGCAATGGGCATGTATAATTAGAGACAAACCTAAAACCAGACCTTCTCCAGATCCAGTTCTTGTGCACCAGTCGGGCCTGAAGTTTAGTTTAACCACCAGTAACTCTTCTTCTGAAGTAAAAACTTCAGCTCGAGGGACACTGAGCCGTTTGTCACTTCTGTTTGGCTTTCTTTCTTTTCAACTTGCAGAGTTTACACTTTCTTTACCATTTTGTAATCATCATGACACATATCCGGACACATTCAACAAACTCTGTGTTTTCTGTTAGTTTCCTTCCTGCTGCCTGCAGTATGTAATGTGGATGATTAGAGAGCATCATGATTAGAGACATTGTATGTTATCCTTTTGTGTTTGCCTGACTTCGATTGTGTGCTGTCTGCTATTTAGTAAAACAATGTGACAGTGTGTTGTTTGAGCAAAGCTGAAGTCATGTTTTTTTTAAAGTGAAATTAATCCTGTTGAAGTGGAAGCCGAAGTCTTACACAAATGTGACAAAGATCAGTCTCAATCCTGTTTCCACGGGAATATAAAAAGATAAATTAAAGTCTTTATTGTGGATAAATCAGTGCCATAATCAGTTTTCTCCTGGACAGGGATCTGAGAGGGTTCACTTAGAGGAGGCTCGTCTCCGGCCAGTGCTGACCGGCAACCAAGGGGGTCTGGTGACGGAGGGAGTGGTGGAAGTGAAGCATGCTGGGAGGTGGCGTCATGTGTGCAACCACGGATGGGACATGAGCAGCAGCCGTGTCGTCTGTGGCATGCTAGGATTCCCCGCAGCAGAAGCGTTTGACCAAAACGCCTACAGGTAAGTATGTGAGAGTGGACACGGCAGAGTGATACTGACATAAAAAGAACATGTGTGCACAACTGGATGTGTGTCCTGTGTGTATGTGTGTAAATGGGATGGAAAACTGCGGTGGACTACACATCCCCTCACGGATTAGGCGGTCCCATACACGGACTACTGTTCCAACCCCCCTGTAGTAGAGGTTAACCACAACTGCTGCCATTAGTATAACCACACTTGGCACGACTTGTCCATAGCGGTATTAGCCTCGGCCGGCTGTCCGCCAGGCCTGTCTGCCCCATTGGCTGAGTGGGCCTCAGTACAAACTTCTAAAATAGTCCTAGAGAGTATGTTATTAATGTCAGATCCAGACTACAAGATTATCATCATCCTCGTGCTGTGTGTCTTTACATGCAACCTCCATTACATGGTCTCTAATCTCATATAATTAAGAATCTTCCAGTGAAAACTGTGTGCAGCAGCATTTTCTAACACTGGGTGGGCATCAGAAAGACTGAGGGCTCACTTCACCAGATTTACCATTGAAGCAGTTTGATTTTTGTACACATTTCTGTCAAGAGATAGCTGTAAATGACAGCTAAAGTTGCTCTGTATCAGATAAAGGTAAGCTAAATATGGCTACATTGTGTTTTACGGCTTGTTTCTGCTGCCCCAAAATAGCCCAAAAAAAAAAAATCTGTTACTGCAGATTCAAGCTGAACAGATATTTATTAATATATTGGAGTGTAAAATTTCAGCACTTCATTAGTTCATCTCAGAAAAACTAATGATTTGTTTTTTTGTGTTCAACATCTACATGTGCATGGGGCTGTATTTTTTGAATTCAAGCAAAATCATTCATTTATGCTTTTTAAAATTGCAGTGTGATCATATATTACTAGGTAGTACAGTCATTGACACATCTTTAATTTAGTAAATAGACAGAAAAAATAGACACACATTGAGTTAAAGCTCCAGTAGACAGAAACCTGGAAAGAATTTGAGGAAGCAATTTGCCCAGGAGTCAAACCCGACTGTCCTCAGTCAAAGTCCTTCATCTAACCGCGTAACCACATCCAACCCTTACTGCAGATGATGTCGCTATTTACACGATCTCACCAGCTCTGGTGAAAAGAGCACTGTGATTGGCTGAAATCTCAGATCATGTTAGATTTTCTAAAGCCTGAGAACAGAGTCAAGATGCAGTACAGGAGTCCCTCTCAGACCACTTGAATTACAATCTGCAGAAAAGTTAGTATTGAACTTCTTACCCAGTGATGCCAGAAAATACTGCCTACCCCAGTATTAGAGTGAGACAGGTATAAGAGACAGGATTCTACTTTCTTTTTAATGTGGGTTTTTGTAAAGCCTTCATTATCCTGAAACACAAATAATTTGCTCTACTAATAATGTCAGACTGTTGTGTTGATTTTATCCCTATAAGTCCAACTAATCTGTCTAACTTTAGCAATGAATATCCATTAAAGCCCCGACACAAACCTTCAAAGCCCTTACACACATACCATCAAAAACCCCAACACCTCACTTACACACACGTGCTAATACATTCCTCCCTCAACCCTCATTGCACACAGACCGTACATAAACTATGTCCAAAATCCATGTGCACACACAAATAAACATGCAAACACACACTTGTGCGCATGCAAACACAACCCCTCCATGTGTCCGTCTGTCTGCCCACAGAGGTCTTTTTACGGCTTGGCTAACAGGACGACTGTACTGACCGCTGGCCTGCCCTGCACCATCTGTCTCTCCATGTCGCCAATAATTACCCCTTGTGTCCTGCTCTGCTCCGCTCAGCTGCAGGATACAAGCTGCTTCTCCTCAGCTGCCCTGCTCGCCACCATCGCCACAGTCTAGCAATGAAAAATTATCTGTCATTCGTAGTGTCTCATCTCACACGGCTTCTTCAGAGTCATGAAGATGAGATGCAACCGTGTGTCAAATTTCGCTTTTAGCCATTTTGTCGTCACTTTGAATTAAATACATCTTTTTGTACGAGTTGGCAGCGCCATCAAGTCAAAGATGGGGCAAAGATCAAAAATATGGTCAAGTCTGGTTGTCCGTCGTGCTACCTTTCTAAACTTAATGCTGTTGTGGACAACAACAACACTGGAAACACCTTAGAGTAGCCTGAAGAAACATCACATTTCTGTGCCAAGAATTCCACCAGCCGCTTGTGTAAAGACTGAGCCAGGCCATGAAAGTTGTTTGTTTTTTTGTCAACCTCCACCCAGCTACGTGGGAGATGAATGAAGCAGACATTTTTGTCCAACAGTAAACAGTTGAGGGGGGTAAGAGGAGTTTTTTTTTTTCACCAGACAAGGACAAGTAAAATCTTTAGCATCTGGTGCCACATGTGTTCATGTATTTCAAAGCAGATAGTTTGCTGTTGACCACCCATTTGAAATGAGATAGAAGTTGATGTATCTTATCCACTTAGTGGCAATAGCCTTTTTTTAGCAGCATTGCTCTCTAGGGATGGCAGTGTCGGTCAGTCCCTTTGGTTTAGACTGAAATATTTCAACAACTATTTAACAGATGGTCATGAACTTTTGCAGAGGCGTTTATTGTCCCAAGAAGATGAGGACTACTTGGCGAACCCTCAACTTTTCTTCAACATTTTTGGGTTCCACTGAAATCTCTTAACAACTATGATACATCTCCCCTTGAAATTAGGCTAGAATAAATGTAATGATCTCTTAATTTTCATCAAGCACCTTTATCAGATTAGGCAGTACTTTGTTTTTTGACCTAACATAATTTATTATATATAAAGATGGTTGGACCCTCTGTGACGTCACCAATAGGTTTCTTGAAAAATGATTTTGAAGCTCTGAGTGGTGGCTCCGGCCAACGCCATGTAGGCCATATTGACAATGCCTAACTCTTGGCTAATCCAAAAATTAGCAGAGGTGGAGTTTGAATGGAGATGAGGCAGGCCATGGACTGCCCTGTGATGGCATACAGTTGTCACTCACACACTCAATAATGCATAACTTTAAGTCTTAATACGATTTAAACATGCGAGTGACATATATATTCACCCCATATAGCAAAGAAGCTATAGAGACCAAAATCACTTTTTGTACCAGGATGTAAGCATGTTTATTTCTGCTCTAAAATTGGGCATTTTAACATGGGTGTCTATGGGGATTGATTCACTTTTTTAGCCAGCCTCAAGTGACCATTTAAGGAACTGCAATACATGGCTCTTCAACACTGACCTAATTTTTCAGCCTCGGGGGTTGCTGCTTGCAAAATACCTGCAAAACTAACCCTTAACATTAGATGTGCTAAACAGAAGTATGCTACCATTGTCATCAGAATAGTAGAAATTATACAGTAGCTCGCTGTTGTTAATGTTAATCCGCCCGTGACAATAGTCGCATAACATCTTCGTGGTGCTACCCACATTGGCACTGGTCCATGCCTGGTCTTTTTTGGGGTTTGCGTCCACTTGAACAGCTGTAATTATGGTCTGAGAGATCCTCTAATCTGGAATATTTTCTCGACTGAACCTGCTGCACACCCTTTGCTGTGTCAGCACTTCCCTCTAGGGCCATGCGGTTGTCTTTTCTTTTTTTTTTTCTCTCTCTTTCTGTGACTGCCTTTGTCTCTGCCTGTTAAGTTGCTCAGCGCATTTTTACAGATGTTTAAACACTCCCCCACTTTGCTGTGCTTACAAAAAGCAAGTGCTAAATCCATTTTCCAGCTCCCTTGTTTCATCACGTTCACACTCTCTTTGAGGCTGACAGTAACTTCTTCAGTTCCTCTAATTTACTTTCACCCCCTGCTCCCTGTTTTCTCCCCGCCTCCTTTTTAAAGGCCACGTTTAATGCCTTTGTGGCAATTATACTAAAACCCACTTTTCATGGAAAGTACATCATTATGACCCCTTTGAGTTCCATGGAGGTTGATTGGACTGTCTAGGGGCTGTTGTGGAGTCAGTGTGGCAACCTGCTGTCTCCTGAGTGAGCCGATTGTTCCAGTCAGGCAGCTTTGCCTTCATGCAGTATAATAACAGGTTATCTTTACGTTTTTTTTGACAGTCAGCTCCTCTCACCACTGTGGCTTATGGTATTCTGTAGTCAGAGTGGCTTAAAAAACCCGGCATCAAGCTGAAGAAAGTCTCCTTGTTAAAAGAAGTCAGCAGCAGCGCTGCAAACACAACCTGTTTGTTGTGTCGAGGCTTGTTGCTGTGGTTTACTTCCCTTCATTATAATACAGAGAGAGCCTGAACTCAGCTCCACTCTGCTTCCAGCTTGATGAGGAGCATCACGCACCATGCACTTAGCTCTCAGCAGGACATCTGAAATATATCTGAAAAGCAAAAGAACATGCTTTTCCTCTTCCTGTGAAGATTCCCATAAAAGTTGTCCAGTTCACAGAGATTTCAGTCTTACATCACTCGTTCCGTGTTTCCCAGCATGCAGTCATAACGTTGGGTAACGACACTGGGATTTTAAAGAGCTTTGTTTTTACAGAGGCAAGGCAGGGAAAGTTGATATGTACGTGCATATTTCCACGTCTGGTGTGTGTGAACCAACATGCTACTGCTCAACCGCAAAGCAGACACTGCCAAACAGAGCAGGCAATTATATGGGTAGTACTCTCACCCCCAACCCCTCCTCCCAGCCATGAACTAACACCCCCATACAGTCTGTCTATCTCGTTTTGATTTACCACCGAGTTCTGAAACATTTTAAACGCCGCAAACTCACACATACAGGCTTAAACGCAAGGAGATAGCCACGAGCAGATGCACGCAATCACAAACAACTCACACTTGCTCATTTACAATATGAACAGAAGCCACAGGATTTGTCAGTTCTCGGGAACATAGGGAGAAATCTTTAACGCAGGCCGTATTTCTTGATCTTAACATACAATTTTTATGTGTCTTATTCTCAACAGAGGTGGTAACTGTAGTTTGAGGGGTGTTTATGCTTTGAGGCCGGCCTGAGAAAGAAAAAGGGAGGGCGACAGAGGGAAAGAAAAGTAGAAGGCAGGGAGGAAGAAAGAAGGAATGAAGGAAAGAGGGAGAAAAAAAAAGCAATGTAGGGAGAGACAATGCTTAAAAAAGAAATAAATAAAAAGATGAAGGAACAAAAGCAAGAAGGAGATGGAACAGTAAAGGTGAGAAAGAGGGGAGGTAGGGAAATATAGACCAATATGAATTGAAATGCGATATCTCATGTAAAGTTTAGTTGTGTTGCACTGGTGTAGGTATTATTTTACCAATATCTTTTTGAGTTGTAGGTAAGTAACAACTTCAGTCACAGCACATGTGTACTATTACTCAATGTTTGAACCATTTCTGCCAGCTTTCAGGGTTGGACTTTCTGTATCATTACTCTTTGAATCGGGGACCAGTTTCAATGACTGAATTACTCAAACTTGCCATTGTGAGTATTTTTAGTGTTAAAGCAGAGTTACATGTGAGCTGGTGTGCTCGAGTTGCATTGAGATTAAGTGTAGCGTTACATCCAAGTCATGTCAAGACAAGAAGGGATTGTTTTCATGGGAAAAAAAAAAATCTAAGTGTGCAACCTCGATACACAGAGATGAGGTTTTAGGAGTTAAATCAACAACCAGACGAGAGCTACTTTAAGATATTTCCAGGGCAGCTACAACCCAGAGGGTTCAGTGTTTCTTAGTCACCTTGAGTCTATTCATTGTCGGAGGAAACACACAGTAGATGTATTCACCAGAGGAGGCCACCGGTCCTGACCAGACTGACTGTCTAAACTCAACACTGGACTGCAGCAAAATCAGAAAATAATAATAGGTATCAGTGTAAACTTATCTGAGAGTGGAAATTTCCTTTTACTGTTCAAGAACTCACAGTTTGTCCTTCACAGTTTGGCCTGTTGTTCGCTTGTAAATGGCTTGCGGTGCACATGTTCCATACCGTAGTTTCACTGGCTCAGGATTCCGATTCTTTTTTTTTCCTTTTTTTTAAACTTTTAAGCCCTTCCAGCCTCAAAGACATTTCTCTTCTAATGTTGTGCATGGAATACCAGGATACTGGGGTTCTCCTGGAGAGGAACCATCTCCTCTTTTAGTTTGCCAAATATTTAATTGCATCATGACTCTGGTTGCACAGTAAACTCTCCTCCTGTCTATACTTGGTGTCATGACTCATTTAATTCAGGAGCATTCATGAAGGGCGTCAGTCACACTGCACCTGTCTGTGGTCACACTGGCTGATGCAAGGGGTCAGCTCTAATGTGTGCATGTTGGTGTATGTGTGTGCATTTTGTGTATACCCACTATTTCCCCCTTTGGATGTGACTCTAGTTTAAGGTAATACCCATGAAACTAGACACAGTTTAGAAAACCCTGTTGGAGTTGGCAGACCTCAATAAGGCTTCTCGCAGGGATTAATGTATAGTGGCCTATTCATATTTTTAGTTTTTTCCACATGGATGCCTCAACCCAGACATCCACTGTAGACATACTGAAACAGAAATATCCGTGAATGTAGAAATGGAAGATCTGAAAAAAGACAAGAAAGGGGATGGTTTTAGAGGGAAGAAAGAAAGAGAGAAAAAGGGTGCTTTGTGATTTATTATTATAATTCTCCCTCTTTGTTTCTTACGCGAGGGATAAGTTTACCAGAGACGCCCTTTCTTCTTTCATATTTGTAGGTTTCAGTTTGTTGATTTAACGTTTGATGGACAGAATGTAAGAGTAGGGATGTCAAGAACGAGAGGAGAGGATGATTGAAGAGGAGAGCAGACTGTGGGAGTGAACAGGACAGCTGGTTGTTTAGTCTACTTCATGTAAAGATGCTCAGTTGTAGCGCTAAAATATTCAGTGCGATGTTCTCTGTTTTTCCAGGAAACTGTGGGACTCCAAGTTGGCTGATCCTTCGTCCAGGTAAAACCAACAGCTGAAGGGTTCATTTGCAATAAACAGCTATTTCTGCCATGTTTTTTTTATTTTATTTATTTATTTATTTATGCACTCTGGGGAATGAACCTGTTGTTGGTTTATTCATTTTAACCTTATGAACCCCAAAACCAGCCGGCAGGTTTGACAGGCATGCTATCTTTTTTTTTTTTTTTAAATCACCAAAATTATACTATCTATTAGAACCAGAAACTTGACTTCTTTTTTTTTTTTTTTTTAGTTTTCCTACCATAATTGAACTACTCATAAAGGACATGCAATTTTGGCGGAGGCGTGAACCGAATCTAAGCTTAAAATCCTCATATTTTAATCACTTTATTCTACAGGCCTCCCCCAAAAAAGTCTTTGCAATAGTCAGATTCTGTAAAAGAACAAAAACCTCTGAGCTTGTCGCCACAACTTTTAAGCCATGAATGACTCAGCGGTGACTAACAGCTACATGACAAAAACTGAGGAACATTTGGGCTGAACTACAAGCTGTGTTTACACAGAGCAGATATGAAACATGTATTGAAGTCGTTCTCTCTGTGTCTAGCCGTGGTTGTACCATTTCAAAAGACCTACAAGAATTTATACTGCAGCACAAAATGAGGTCACAGTGAGCAAAAATGTGACAGAAGCAAAAGATGCCCAGAAACTGCTTGGGATTCAGAGGGATGAGAATGGCATCTGACATCTGTTTTCACAAATGAACTCTTCATCTGTGTTTTAAAAGATATACAGAAACTTCAACTTAACCTTCTGCACTAAAAGTTAACAAGTGATGCGTGGAATCACAAACCTTTCTTCTCCACTTGATTCCCTGCCCAGACTGAGCTCCCAGGTTGGTAAGAAGGCTTACTGGGTGGAGAAGGTCCAGTGTCAAGGTGTGGAGGCATCTTTGTCGCAGTGTCAGGCCCAGCTGTCCCTCCCCAGGACCGACGTCCCGTGCAGGGGAGGCATGTCCGCCGTGGTCCGCTGTGTCCCCGGATCCCAGTTTGCACGTTTCAGCAGAGGACCTGCACCACCTGCTGTATCGGTCAGTGTGGACGTGGACAAAGAGAGAGGGGAAATGTTAAAACTTTTGTTTAAATTTTAGGAAATTCACTTAGTTGTTTTCTTGTCAAGAGTTAGATTAGAAGAATTACGTCATTCTCCTGGTTGTACATTATAAGCTACAGCCAGGAGGCAGTTATAGGCCAAGCAGTTTTGTTAATATATCCATGTTACTAGCAACTCTGAAGTTTGTTTCATCTGTACACAAACAGGGAAGTCATTGCTTCAAGTTACACTTCCAGCACACAATGCCTTGTAAAAAAAATGAGTTCATGTTGGTTGTTTTCCACTGCTTTCAGTATTTATGCTAAGCTAAGCTAACCTCAGTAGGCCTTTTTCCAATATGGCAAATTATTTCTTTTAAATTACAGGGTTAGGCCTGTTTTGCTTGTCAATACAGTATACAATCTTGCTCAATTAATTGCAAAATTTTAAAAATTACACATCGGGGTTTAGCGGTTTTAACCTGTTTTTAACTTTTCATCTGTTCTCAGTGTTTATGTTAAGCTGAGCTATACTATTAGCCTATAAGAAACGTCTGCTGCACACAGAAGAATTTCAGAAGAAAAAAAAAAGGATTAAATAAAGTTTACATAAAATGTTGATGAATAAAGACAGTTTATAGAACAAAGACGAAAATCTAATTTTTGAAGCAGTGAAACAATCTAAAAATGTAGCATTTAAATCTGGCCATGTTTTAAAACTTCCATTTCTATTTTACTTCCAGCCTGTAGTGCGACTGAAGGCCGGACCCAGGCTCGGCGAGGGCCGTGTGGAGGTGCTGAGAGAGGGCAAGTGGGGCACCGTGTGTGACCACCTGTGGGACATGCCAGCAGCCAGCGTGGTCTGCAGAGAGCTGGGCTTCGGCACAGCCAAGGAGGCGCTCACCAAGGCTCAGCTGGGACAGGGTAAGACTCCACACATAAACAGAGCCACACGCATGCAGTCAAACAGCACTTTGAAGTCTTTCTGGTGCTTTCCAGTCATGATTTCACTCCCCATGGCTTTGGGAGGTCACTGTGGGAAACGTTTGTGTGTTTAAACAAAACTATAACAGAACCTTTACTTGCCCCTTTGTCCTAAATAAGCAGATAACCTCATTCATAAAAGTATATTTAAAAAAAAAAAAAAACAGACCACCAGCTACTGATCTGATAACCAGTTATGGGTAAATCGGCTTTGAATCAGTGCCTGAGCTCACCATGCACCCCGAGTATGATCGGTTTAGCCCAGAGATTCCTTTAGACTAAACACTTCTCAGTCTAAATGCAATACTCTAAGAACCGTGAACCTGAGCAGACAAATAAACCCAGAGAAAATGTTTACATCCTGAAATCGAGTTCTATCGGAAAAGCTGATTGTTGAGGAACTCTCCCCATGACCAATTATGCAAGTCTAAACTGTGCTCGGAGGGTCCGGCTACCAAAACAATGGCGTGTGTTCTTGTAGTCAAAATAAATCTGTTGTATGTGAGAAGTTAGCGTTGCTTTGAAACCAGGATGTCGGGCAATCAGCGCTGAGAAGGAGCAAACATTCAGATGTGATTATTCCAGCAAGGCTTTTGTTGTGGGGCGTGAAAATATGGCCACTGAATTGCACCCGGCAATAACAGAGTTAAACATTTTCCTAAGGAAATTGCAATAGACCCCACTTTCTCACACTCAGTTATATTCTGTTTTCTTGCCATACCTCTGCAGTAACTCTGTAATCACGTTCATTTCCGTCCATTATCTTTCTGCCCAAATGAGCACATAGCATGTCCTATAATGGTGGTTGCATTTCCTCCTCTCTACTTTACTTAATTAAGTAAGTCATGGAAAGCATTTGAGTGTTACTTTTAGGGCTCTATTAAAGTAGGTGCTCTGGTGTTGTTGTGCCTGAATAATGAATTCATGGTCAAATGTCAGAATGCAGCATTGTGTCTTTAAACGTCTCAGGTCAGTTTATGAGTTATAACATGTCAGACGTGAAGCTCGTGGGTAGAGCAGTCAGAGAAGAGCAGCTCGGAGCTGGGCGTGATGACATCATTAGCTATTTAAGGTAAAATTATAGGGCTTTAATGGGCTTCAGCCGGGGCCTCATACACCTACGCAAACATAGATGTGTTCAAAGATTTTGCTCCATTTTGCCATTTTGGTGTCTATTTTGGTATATAAAGTCCTGGTGTGCAAATGTGCAGCACGGAGGCTACAGCAATTTGGACGGAAAGCTCTCTGGCTAAGCTCAGTTTCAGAGCCACATCAGAGGTCCCGATCACGTCTGGGCTTTTAATCTGTCTCTGTGGACATCTGTGCCTGCGCAGCCACCAGGTTTTAGAGACTTTTATGTGTGCATGCGTGCCTCGTGTGTGTGTGTGTGTGTGTGTGAGCATCAGTCTTTGCATGCGGCCTCTAACTGGCAATCAGTCAACTCCTGTCCCACGCCCTTCTTCTGCAGGCACCGGTCCCATCCACATGAACAGCGTGCAGTGCACAGGCAGGGAGCGGTCGATTACCGAGTGTCGCTACAGAGAGGTGCCACTCTACACCTGCAAACACAGCCAGGATGTAGCCGTTCGCTGCAACGTCCCCAACACCGGCCTGCAGGCCACGGTGAGAAAGACACACCAAGGCATGAGGACATATCAATGCAGCAAGCAGATTCACAGACTGATGATTAAACACTTTCCAACTACACATTCAGGTGCGTCTGGCAGGAGGCAGAGAGCCTGCAGAAGGTCGTGTGGAGGTGCTGATGGAGGTGGGAGGAGTGAAGCGCTGGGGCTCCGTCTGCAGTGAGAACTGGGGGATCAACGAAGCCATGGTGGTCTGTCGACAGCTGGGCTTGGGCTTCGCCTCCAGAGCTCATCAGGTACAAAAAAAAAAAAACAACTCACAGTTTCTTTCAACAAGTTTTCCTCTGATTCTCTATTTTTCTGTCTTTGAGCCTTTGTTCTGTGTGCTCCTATATTTCCTCCCTCTCTCGCTCTCTCCTCCCCGTTTGTGTGTCTGTGCTGTGTTATTACCGAGGCCTGAGGTAATTACAGGCTTCTCAAACGTCCACTTCCAGCGCACCGAAAATAAAAGAGGGAAAGTGAGGCGAAGAGAGATCGGGAGAAATTCACAGAGCAAACAAACTGAAAATAGAATTGTGCACGGAAAGGGCAGCGCGAGTGTGCTGAGGGGGGCTGCTGGGAACATTTAACAGGCAGTTTTAGAATTGTGAAAAAGAGTGGAAAATGTGATAATGTGTACTGATAGTTCTTATAAAAAGAGAGTTTTCGCCGCTTACAGCAGAGGCTGCTATTTGCCTTCAGTTCTGTGACAATTCTCACTTGTCTTCTTGTCGTTTTTCCACAAGCGATCTGATGATTTTGTGTGTGAATGTGTTCTCTTGCTGTGTCTCTGCGCAGGAGACCTGGTACTGGCCTGGATCTTCAGACGCCGGTGAGGTGGTGCTGAGTGGGACTCACTGCGCAGGCACTGAGATGTCCATCCAGCAGTGTCGCAGAAACACAAACGTCTACTGTCCCAGAGGAGGAGAGGGCAGAGCTGCAGGAGTCACATGTGTAGAGAGTGAGTCCAAAAGCAGCAAACACACGGACACTGTTGTATTTGTTGTGCAGTGATTGTTAAAGGGGAGCTCTGGCAATTTCACGCATTGGTCTGTTTACAGGTGTTTGGAAAAACTACTGCTGTGTTATAAAAAGTCTGATAATTACATTAGCTGCTACTTGCATGACTCACTTGAATTTCTGGCCAAACTGTTAAGTTGGAGGTTGAGTTGCATTGTGGGTGAGGGAAAACAAAGAAGACTGAGCAGTTTTAAATGAGTGCAATGCTAATTTGGGAGATGATTTTTTTAAATAAAACTTTACGACTCTTGCAGCTGCTCCCGACCTCGTACTGGACGCTCAGCTCGTCCAAGAGACGGCCTACCTGGAGGATCGACCTCTCCACCTGCTGACTTGTGCCAACGAGGAGAACTGCTTGTCCTCCTCTGCTGCCAGAATGAACTGGCCTTACGGACACCGCCGCCTGCTGCGCTTCTCCTCCCGCATCATGAACATGGGTCGTGCCGACTTCAGGCCCCGGGCCACCAGAGAAAGCTGGATATGGCACCAGTGTCACAGGTAAGCCTGGGGAGAGGATACGTAACTTGAAGCAGACGTTTACAGCATCTTTTTAAGTCACTGTGTCACTTAGAGGAGATTTAAAGTCTTTATTTAAAGCAGCAGCTGCTCATTTTATGCCTTTAACCGGTTAGGGATTAACTGTGTGGTGATTTTAGCTGCCGCTGGGTTTAGTTGAAAAGAAAAGTTGCGTAACCTCCTCCATGGCACGGGACTGGGCATCATTATGAGGTGGCACAAGAAAAAGGAGCATTTTAGAAAAAAAGAACAGCATTAAGCCTAAATTGTCTGCAGCCGAAGCTGAATGGGAATCACTGGGTGCAGCAAAGCAGGGTGATATTTTTGAGATGCGGCCTATAAATAGCCGAGCACATTTAAAAAGTCTGTTATTTAACACAATAAACACAATCTTTTATCCCCTAAAATGATGTTTACAACAAACATCCTCCTCACCGGTCACCCAGTTGTTACAGTCAGAGCCATGACTGCACTCAGAGCAGCCTGGCTTCTTATCTCGGCGGTTGTGGTTCCGTGTCCCAGAACGAAAAGGCACAGCTCGTTGTGTTTCCCAGCCGCAACCCACTCACTACCTCCACGACCAGCAAACACAGGGTTCGACTTTCAGCTTTGGTAGCTCGTTCTGGGAACTGGTTCTGTAATGAGAGAAAGTGCAACACCAAACTGATATCTATCCGTTTTTACAGCTGTTGTCTGTGTCTGTCTGACGCCTTCAGAACAACCTAACAGGATTTACGGCTGCAAATAAACATCAGGGTTGGGTTTTTTTGTTTTCACCTCAGAGGGTTTTATGAATGTAGATGAAAACAACAACAGCAGCGGATTCAATGGAGATCTTTCTCAGATTCTTTCTATAGCTTTTTATTATCTTTTTTTTACTTCATGCTTTATTTACGACATACTGATCCCATTCTCAGGCACTACCACAGCATCGAGGTGTTCACCCACTACGATCTGCTCACCATCAATGGGACAAAGGTAGCTGAAGGTCACAAAGCCAGTTTCTGCCTGGAGGACACCTACTGCCCCGACGGTGAGACATGATTACAGATAAATTGTGTATAAATCTGCTTTTTGTTTTTAATTTGAGGGAAATCTGGATACGAGCGCAATATCGTGACAAATGAAAATACATAAAAGCGCAAAGCTGAAATTATGTAAAGAGCTTTCAAAGGCTGTAAGATCAGAGGCCAAGCCTAAATTGATCTTGGCTTCGCAGAGCCGAGACAGCTTAGATCCTTTCTATTCATTTGTAGGACACTAAAAAAAGAGTTGGGTTTCAAATCATTTTGTAATTTCAGACTGTTGGCTAGGAATCGAAATCCGCAGCGACTGACAGCAAAGAAAATTTACACATCGTAGGCTTTGGGTTTTTATGTCTTCTCCAACTGCTTTGTTTTTCCAGGTATCCATAAGCGATATGCCTGCTACAACATGGGACAACAGGGTATCTCAGTTGGCTGCTGGGACACCTACCGCCACGACATCGACTGCCAGTGGGTGGACATCACTGACGTACGCCCCGGTGAATACATCTTTCAGGTGAGTTTGTTGCAAAGAAAACATCTATTGCCCTCTTTGCTCAGCTGTTTTTAAAGGTACAACTGGAGGAACTGGTACTCCAGTGAAATTACGAGGAAAAAAAAAAAAGGTAATCCACACTTAATCTTCATGGTGAAATAGCATCAGCAATGTCAGCTCACAGCTTACACAACTTCTTAGATCGGGCGTGAAAGTAAGGAAGAATTTTAAAAAAAAAAAAAGAGAGAGAACGGAACACAGCAAATACAGGAGTTTCGACATCTGAAGGCACACGCAAGATAAAAAGCTGTGATAAAAGACTGTAATTTCAGCTAAATGGCTCTTGGCTGTGTTTTCAGCCATTCAGGTGTACAGTATGTATGTAGTTTTAAGGGTGTGTGTGTATTTAAGGAAAGTGAATTTAGTCTGGATTTATATAGAAAGTAGACCTGCTATTAGTCCAGCCTTGCACAAAGCGTGGACTTATTGGTGGTGGAAAAGCTCCGTCAGCACTTTTCATTTGTAAGTTTTTATGTTTGACAGCAGAGCCGGTTCACATGTCTCGTCTTTTTCTAGACATCCAATCTGCTGTGGTGACCTACTCATCTGTCCTCCTTCTCTGTCATTTGCTCTATTTTTTCCCAGACGGCAGAAAAGCGATGATGTTTACGGGTTCTAATTATTTTATGAGTGTTTACATAAAATCGAGACGCTGGACTTGCACGTTGCTCACGTGGACTGTATGTAAGCGACATGCAGGAGCAGTCTGTCACATGTACATGACGAGCCACTTCTTGAGAGATAAAAACCACATATATGCCGTAAAGTCGTGATCCACTGCTGCCACGACACCATGACCCAGCAGCACTTTGTGGTGACGATCGCGGTGCAACAGTAGTTGGGATTCTCATAAATTTGTGTAAGAAGTGAGAGATTGAGGGAGGGCGTAAATCCTCATTCGTCTATCATGCAATTTGGGTGTTTCTGTGAGTCTTTACCGAGAAACGCAGGGTGGCAGCCATTTTTAGGACCATACATTTAAGCTGATGACTCACGTCCACCTCAGCTTGATTGCTCCTGATTGTGCCGCTATTTAAAATTCAACTGCTCAACCTCCTCACAACCTTTTACACGGCAGTGACAGCCTTTCATTGTTCTGTAAAACAGGCTGTGGGCCCTTTGTTTCACATTATTACAAGAGGTTTTAATAGGGCATCAGCTGCCACCAAGTTAATATGGTGTTTTACACCGGGACTGTAAAATACGTGTCACTGGCTGCTCTCGACATGCAATATTATTAAAAATATATGAAGTTCTCAATACTAAATTTGGCCTAAAATGTAATGAAAAAGAATCATAATTATGAATATTTTGCATCTTAAATCTTTGTCTGTAAATATAATTGGAACCGCAAAATTTATACTGTATGTAAAAAATAAAAGTGGGTTGCTTTATTGAATATGTGGTCAGGTTATCTGTTTGATGTGTGCATCAGGAAAATTCATTTGTGAGCCTTTCTTATATATGGCAGGCAGACAGACAGGGTGGAAAACAACAAACCATGGCAACCAACCATGGCTACGGTCTAATGATAGGCTGCAACTTAAATCCAAAACCCAAAACTGTCATCTGCATCGCTGGGCCTTTTTTTTTTTTTTTTTCCTGCGCAGAGATAACAGTGGAAAGTGATGTCATGCATCACTTGAACCCCAAATTTATTCATCACAGATCATATAGAAAAGGAAAACAATAATCCTGTGGCTTCTCAGTCGAGTCCGGTGGAAAAACTGTTGTTTCCTAACGGTCTGAAAAAAAAAGTGTTACTTTCATACTCATTCTCTTTCTTTATTAAAAGACGCTCTCTGCTGTGTTTGTAGTCTAGACAGAAAGTCACTTTCCCAGGCAACCAAAGGAAAATCCGGGAAGCCACTGCACTGACAAAGAAATATTCCCACACTTACACCCACCCCCCTGTTTCCAATCTGTATGCTAATCTAACAGTCCTGCAGCTCGAGCTTCCTTTTTAACACAAAGATATGAGACAATTGTCAAAATAAGTTCATGTCCCAGAAGTGTTCCTTTGCGGTAGATATTTTACCCCTAAAGATGAGTAAGAGCTGATTGAGTTTTGATTGAGTTTTTTGGAAGATGCTCCACCTCGCATCTACAGTTCTGAGTGTCCTGAGCACTGAAACTTCTGTTAGCACCTTGAGAGTCATTGAAGCAACACGTGAGTCCTTAATGCATCTGGACATCAGTAGTCATTAGGGTCCCCTGAGTCAAGGTAGAACGTTAAGTTGTCTGCGGCAGGGGGGTCTCAGAACTCAGAATTGCAACTTAAGGCCAGTGTTAAGCCTTGATACCATCTTGCAAACATGCACGCAGACATACAATACATGCACTGTAAATTTTATTGACGTATCCTGCACAAACATACTGCTGCCAAGCATGTGCACCATTACCCGTTGTAGTGTAGTCACTGTGAGGACAAGATTTTTTGCTGCAAACAAGTGTACATTATGGGATCTGCACAGACTCTCGCAGATGAGGACGAATGATGAAATTTACAGAGTCCAAGGCCAGAATGACATTTTTCACATCTGTGAGTATGGATCATTCTGCAAGGCCATGTCTGGCCAAAACCCTAAGAGTTCGCAGGCAGCCCAAAGTTTGTGTCCAAGCAGACAGTCCGTCATTACAATATACAGAGACAGTAACCTACTGCACATGTATGGAATGGAGTCCTCTGAGTAGACTATAAAAGTAACAACCGCACGTCCATGGTGTCTCCAGCTGTCTGTGTGTGCATCCACAAAGGAGTATAATCAAGGCTGAAAGGCCAGCTCATGCTTTCTGCATTGAGACTTTGAAGGACAAAAGCGGACACACACGTGATTGTGTCCATACTACATTTATACAACTGCTTGTCTGTTATAACACAGGGAAACATACAGTGCAGTTGCTGTAACTACAGTGCAGACAGTCTATGCAGTCACCAAGTCTAGGTTGGACAATAGCAGATGGCTACACATGGACCCTCGTGGACTTGGGTGGATGACTGTAGATATGATACGCACATGTGGAAACCATAAATTGGCCCTATCACCCACTGATGTCTTGATTCAGAGGATCCTAATGACTCACCTGATATTCTGGTAGGTCAATGACTCACATATGACCTCAACCACCCTTAAAGTGCTAACAGGAGCTTCAATGCCTTGGACTCCCTTCCAGTCAGAACAGCAGAGGCCTTTTAAAAGGAGAGATGCAACTTCTTCAAGAAACTCCTTTGATTCAAGCTGCTTTGGTTTAAGTCCTTAGATGCACCATGGCCTGAATAACTGAGATCCTCACACCCCAAACACACCTTCAACCAAACCCATCCCAAGTGTATGCCTAAGGGAGATTTGACAAATATTGCGAAAGATCATCAGCATACAAAGAAAAGACACTGCGTCTTTCTAATGCATTAGGAGAGATAAGTGGAGATAATTGCTTGTGCATGTGGTTCAGCTGCATGGTGATAAGGTGTGGAGTTGTGTCTTGTCTTGCACACAACCACTGGTAGTATACTGAAGTGTTTTTAATAAAGAAATCAAATTGTCTCCAAATCTACGGACAGGAAAACACAAGCGTGTTTCATATTTATTACATAAAGCAGTCTTTGCGTATTGGCTGTCCTTTAATAAATCCTGCTGGTTCTGAAAGACACTTTACTCATCTGTGAGGAGAATAACTGACTTGTGTTATCTCTTGTGTCTCTTTCTATACAGGTGGAGGTCAACCCTTCTCTAGACATGGCTGAGTCCGATTTCCAGAACAATGTGATGCGCTGTCGGTGCAAGTACGATGGAGCACGAGTTTACATGTTCGGTTGCCATGCAGGTAGAGTGTTTTTTTTCTTTTCTTTTCAGCGCACGCAAACCCTCAGTTTCAACAACTTAATACTCACCCGTATTCCACTTCTCCCATTTGTCTGTTTTCATCAGCTGATGCCTACAGCGCCGAGGCGGAGGACCTGTTTGACCACCAACGTCAGATTTCCAACAACTTCCTGTGAATTAAGGAACAGCCAGATTTAAGAACAGAACAACTGTACAACTCCTCGCCACACCTCAGCGTGTCAGGGGAAGGAGGGTGAATGACAATGACATGCCAGTAAACAGAGAGAGGAGGAGGGTGGGGGGAAAAAAAGGGGAGATGTTTTGGGAGGGATGGATGGACTTGATGCAGAAATGACTAATTGGAACCCCGTGACTGATCATCAGCAGCTTGTTGCTGTTAGAAAGTCAAAGAGATAAATGGAGAAATGTAGAACGACGAGAAGACAAAATAGCAGAAAGTCACAAGCATCCTGTCACCATGATACAACTTAGAGTAGTTTACAATTTTGAAAACTTGTCTTGTTTTTCTTTTGTTTTTTTTGTTTTGTTTTTTTACCCACAAAAATTTAATTACATTGATAACCACAGTTAAGAAAGTGATGACATGAAGGCACTTGAGAACAACTTTTACTGTCCTTCGTATATCAATACAGGTAACGGATTACAAAACTCTGTAAGCGCGTCCTGTGCTTTCAATGTCCACATTACAAAATGCAGTATTTACTGTTATAACTGTGTGGTTTTCTTTTGGTTTTGAATGAGTTTTTTTTTTTTTTTTTTAATTCATGGTGCTATTTTGCCTTTTTTTGAATAAATATTGTAATGTATTGCAAATGTATTGTCATGTACAGTTTTATATTACCTCTCTGGAATAATGTTCTTTAGGTTCTCTAATTTATGCAGAATTTTAATGTACTTTTGAGTTGAAACTTGTTTGTATTGTTAATTTTATTATGACAACTATTTCCACTTTGTTTGTTCTTTACCTGTTTAACATCGGTAACAACAGACACGATCTGGTTGTGCCTGGGTATTGCGTCTATCAGTACTTGGTAATGGTAGTGAAAGAATAAACGTCAGATTGACAAACTGTATGGTCATTCGAGGCATGGTTATTTTGACTGCAGACTTTTTTTTAATGCAGAATAAAAATAAAGGTTAAGGTCACAGCTTCTGCAGAAGATTTTTAGGGAACCTGCTAAATGTCTTTATAAAAAAAAAAAGAGATTCCTGCAGTTTGTACAGTGCCTTATGCAAGTTTGACAGTCAGCATTGTTTCAGTTCCTTCAGCAGATATTTAAAAAAAAAAAAAGATCTACAAAGGTTTAAGGGACTGAGTCTCTCATCCTTTCCCAAGGAGCTAAACCGTGTTTTATAGTTGTTTCCAACCTCAATCTCACTGATGAACACGTACAAACACTTGAAACGCTCACAGCTGCCCATTGTCACATTACATAAGATGCTTTGTTGTAAACGTGATTTACTTTGTTCCTTTTTTTTTTAACTTTAATGAGCTGGTGTAGAATATAATGTCCACGTTCTATAAGTAAAAGTTGCAATTAAAATCGAATATAAAGTCCTTGGAGGTAACATAAACTTTTGGAGATGTAATCTTTGGTCACAGTAAGTATAATCCTGAGAGCATCGCTGTCAGACTATCTGTAAATTTTCGGACAAAGTCTTACCACATATTAGAGCAACAGATAGATCCCTGAACATGTCATGATCATCACTGTCTTCACCTGTTGTTAGGAGAAAGGCATTCTTATATGAATGAATTTGCACTAAGGAACAACAAAGCATTTTGTTGTACACATTGCTCTTTACAAATGAATATAATGTTGAAAATAATACCTATTGTTATGATGATTATTATACTGGCAAGGCATTTGTTTCTCTGCCAGAGATGAAATTGTTCCAGCAAAGTTTTAAAAAAGGGAGATGGGTGATGTAAGGTATGTTTGCTGACAGCATTTGGTGCCAGGAAACTCACCACCAGGGTTCTTTATTGTGGTGCGACATCAGATTAGTCCTTCATTTGGACCGTGCCTCACACTTCATTTGCTCCATGACATAACATGCAGCATTTTCTGCGCAAACACGTCTATTGCAAAGCTGGCACTTGGAACCACCACTCGCTCAGTAGTGGTTTGTGTTTGTGTAGTTAATCTAATGATTGTGTATGAGGCACCCAGCAGGCTGCTCTGTGGTACATCACCTCCTCCTCACGAAGCCGCAGCAAAGCAAGAGATTATGGGCAGGGCTCAGATCTCACACGATGATGGTAAAGAGCAGCTAAGGCCTCTATATGTAGTGCAGCTGCAAGAACAACAGCGCGCAGGGCGGTCGACTATGACAATTTGTCCGCACTTGCTGCTGGAAGTTTGTGAGCAGGTTATGAAAGAGAAAGCCATGTGTGCAGCAGGACCAACAGAGGCCTCGGTACAAAATACGTGAATAACAGCCTCTGCACAGAGTCTTAATGGATGACAATTCAGTTTTTGTTTGCAACAGAAGAGGGTTTGTGGAATAAAGGCTATAAAATATATATAGCTGATGCTGAAACTGAATTATTTGATGCTGCATCTTTTTGTTAGAGGTTTTCCCCTCATCTCTCCAAACTCTGAACAGTCATAGAGCTCAAACTGTAAATAAATAAATAAAAGTTCTGTATAGCATTAATATCATACAATCATACACATCTTTCAAGAGATAAAATACCAAAAAAAATCACATTAAAATTATTGACGTATTTCCGATTCTTTACATGTATACACTGTATTCCAATTGCTTCAGGGAAAGATTGCGTACATTACAACTACACACTGTACCATCAGCAACACCACAAAACTATATAAAGCTGTCTGAACAACTTGTCCATGAAGTCAAACATAGTTTTCTCCTGAACCCAAAATCCTATTGTTCCATGTTTTTTTTTTCATCTTGCCCAACAATAATACAAAAAAAATCAAAACACCTGTTTCCAGATGCATTTCAACAATAATGTGTACACTTGACAATGAAGCAACATGAACTAGTTCTTTCTTTTTCTATACCCAGTAATCCGACTGAAAAGAAAAAAAAAAACGTCTTTGGAAACGAGGAATCTCTGCATGGATATAGACTTGTCAGTGCTCATTTAAAAGTACTGATTTGAAAAGAAATGAACATGTTCTGATGCCTCCTCTCAGGCTGCAGCACTTTAATTAGCCCACTATGAGCCACGTGGCACAGCGTCTCCGCCACCCTCAGCCGACGAGCCAAACGGTTACAAAACTAGCTTTCTTACAGCAGTTCTGCATTAAACTGACTTGGATATTAAGTAGTGGGAGAGCTGAACATCACATAGCCGCTCCGATTGAATAATTGTCTACAATTGACTTAATAATTTCAGCAGAAATTGTCTTTTTAAACATCTGGGTAATCTGTTGTATTATTGCGTGAAGACTTCTACAGATAGCAGCTACCGAGGCCAAATGTTAATATAAAAATTTAGTTTTGATACAAAGTTCACTAACTAAGAACAAATGACAAATTTGCAGCTCTTTTTCCAAGCTGGCTGAAAGTGGTGTAATTATTGGCTGAGGAGGTGAATGAGCCACAGTGCCACATGGTCTGTGGTCGGCTGGGTGAAGCCTCAGAGGAGGCGGCTGCCTGCAGCTGTCAGAAAAGTCTCTCGAGCCTGAGTTGTGTGTGCATGTGTGTGTGTGTGTGGGGTTGTCTGAGGAAGCTGAATTATGAAAGCTGACTTTGAATTGGGAAAGTGAATTTGAGGACAAAAGCTTAATTAAATAAACACAGTGTTCCTCTGTCGTGAAAAGCTTTTACAAGTCCAATATCTCAACTTTCTAGGAATACAGACTCACGTTTTCTTAAAACTAAAGTAGTTTGAAAGGGTTGTGGTAAACCACGGTGTCACTGGATGTCTCAACTAATAGATCATGTAATGCTGGAGTGGAAATATAGTTGAAATAGTGCCTTTTATCAGTCATTTATTTAACAGCCTATGTTACAGTACAAATAATTAAATGTACACAACTGAAATACAATATCAGAAGCTGCTCTCATTTTAAAACAAGGCATGACACTGGGTGCTAGTTCACACTGCAAACCACTGGACACGATGGTTTAAAAGTGAAGTAAATGTTTAATACGGGTGAGCCTTTAATTGCTAAACAACATTTCTAAATTGACACAACTTTTAATTTCACCACTCAAACAGAAACAAATCTCAATGTCTTCATTTGCACCAAATCAGCCACAACATTTAAACCACAAAGAGACAAAGTGAATAACCTCGTTATAATGGAGTCAGTGTGTCAGAGGAATGAACAAGAGTAGGGATTGGAGCGACTTTGACAAGGGCCTAATTGTGATGTCTGGATGACTGGGTCAAAATAAAAAAACAGCAGGTCTTGCACAGCGTTCACGTTACGCAGAGGTTTGCACCTACCAGAAGTTGGCCAAGGAACCACTACTGGTTAACCGGTGACCGGGTCCTGTGGTTCAGTCTGACAGAATTGCTACTGCAGCACAAATTGCTGAAAACCTTCTTTCTCAGTATGACAGAAAAGCATCGGAACACACAGAGCATCACGGCTTGCTGCACATGAGGATGTCCAGTCAGTGTCTATGCTGACTTCTGTCCCCTACAATGGAACAAAGTGTCAGAACTGGAGCAATGAAAGAAGGTTGGCTGGTCTACTAAATCACATTTTCTTTTCTTTTTTGGCCCCACAAACCTCTCTAGTGTTTCATGTTGTATCGTTTGTCCTCTGTTACCCATTTCTTTGGCTCCTCTTTACCCTGTTACGCCAACTTGTTGCGGCATACGTCCACCCTCCCTGAGCCTGGTTCTGCCAAAGGTCTCTTCCTGTTTAAAGGGAGTTTTTTTCCTCCCACTGTCACCGTGTTTGTTCAAAGGGAAATGTTGAACACGTTGGGTTCCTTTCTACAATACTAAACTGTGTTAACCCTACTATGTGAAGCAATCTATACATAAAACCTAAGTGACTGAAATTTGACATCATGTGGACAATCAGGTGTGTGTGTGTGTGTGTGTGTGGTCTACCTGGGCAACAGATGGTAGCAGGAGGAGGAGGTGCGATGCTCTTGGTGACGTTCTACTAAAGAAACTTTGGGTTCTACCATTCATGTGGATGTTACTCGACACATACCACCTACCTAAACGCTGCTGGAGACCAGGCACACCCCTTCATGGCAACGTTGTTCCCTGACAGAAGGATAATGATTCCTGCCATGCTGCAAAAATAGTTCAGGGGTTGTTTGAGGAGCATGAAAGAGAGGTGACAAAGGAGGCCTTATCTTCCGCTAACATCTTGGTGGTCTCGTGGAGTCTGTGCCTAAAGGGGTCAGAGTTGTTTTGGTGCAAAAGTGAGGCCCATACAATGGTAAGTAAATGGTTTAATTGTTGTGGCTTATCGGTGTATCATAATGTACTGCATTATCACGACCCACTTTACATGGTAACTGATATTTAACAGAAACCTTCTTTTTTTTTTTTTTAAATCTTTGAAAACATTGAAAAATATCCATATAAAGAAAAACATGAAGCTTTGGGTTTTTACAGAAAACAACTACGTCAGTAAATTCATTACACTTCAAAAAATGATTAGCCTCAGTGTTTCATCACAGACCGTGCTCACAATATCAGAGATTTAAAAGTAAGTCCAGGTGAGCCAGGTGGTGGTGGTGGTGGTGGTGGTGGTCCCAGCCATGTTACAGGACCACAGTTTCTGAATGGACAAAGTATGAAGGTAAAAGTGAGGGAACAGTGGCAGGATGCTCTCTTCTGATGAAACACTGCAGGCTGTCAGACATTGAGCCATGAGACGGTCAGTAGCAACTGGTGAAGGCCCTGGGCAGGACGAAGGAAAAAATGGAGGGAACCCATTTCTGGGAAGTGTGATGGTCGGAGGGAGTGGCCAGTTGAGAAAAACAGAAAAGAAGAAGAAACTGAAAAGCCTGAAGCCTCTGCTGAATCAAGGAATCAAATGTGTGTCCAGTCATTTTCCCTCCCAAGCATCTTCCCTCTGCTTGGCTGCCAGGCGTTTTTGCTCTGAGAGATAAATCACAGACAGACAGTTCAACACATGAATAAGCGAAAGCTTTTATATAAACAACACTTAGGTGGTTCGCTGCTCTAAATTTATATCACTGTCTTTACCACATGTAGGGAAGTGAAGAGCTGCGGCAGATTGAAGAGCCAGCTGCGAATTAATCTTTGCATAAGGCCATACGTGGCACCTCCTCCAAGTACACAACATTTAGCACATGATGCACTTTTGTACTGACATTTACTGTGCGTGTTGTGATCTTGCATAAAGAGCACAGCAGTGAGCCCAATGCTTGGAACAAAGGAGCTTTTTTTAGTTTTGCTATACTCAAGGCCCTGACTTCCTGGACTGACTGTTCAGTGGACAGCCAGTTGTGGTTTTCTGTGCCTATATACTTATGTTCCATCTGTGAAGGGAAATGACTGCTGTACTGATTATAGACCTGTTACGATCCACTCAGCAATGGATGAACTTCTCTTGGCTCCACTTTGCAACTAAGCTTTCCACTTTCTTTAAAAAGTATGAAAAGAGCTCCCACTTGTGGTGGAAACCTTGAGATGCAATCACTGGGGGTGCATTCCAGTATCTGTATTTCCATACTATATAGTATGTCAGAAAAAAAAAATGTTTCTCTTAATAGATAGTATGGCAAATCTATCCATCCATCCATCCATCCATTATCTATACGCCGCTTAATCCTCACTAGGGTCACAGGGGGCTGGAGTCTATCCCAGCTGACTCAGGGTGAAGGCAGGGGACACCCTGGACAGGTCACCAGTCTATCACAGGGCTACACTTAGAGACAGACAACCAAGCACACTCACATTCACACCTACGGACAATTTAGAATCACCAATTAATCTAAATTTTTTTTTTTTTTGGACTGTGGGAGGAAGCTGGAGAGAACCCACACTGCACGGGCAGAATATGCAAACTCTACGCGAACTGGCGACCTTCTAGCTGCGAGGCAACGGTGCACCAAGCCACCTTGCAGCCCATGGCAAATCTAGTATGCCAAAAATACCAGAATGTCCCACTACATCTGGTGCTATTTTGCAGTGTACAAGCCAGCATGCTTTTCTTGCTATTTTCACCCACAATCCTCTGTGCAATTAGGTCACAGTAAACAAGCTTAAGCTGCAAAGAGTGCACAGACAGATGGCCTGTCATTTCACACTATATGCTGCAGCAAATATATGAGGAAGGTGCAATATTATGGCAAAGTAGTATGTCCTGATTGTATGCATACTGCACGAAACAGTATGTACTTTGTAAAGGCAGTTGTAGTATATGCCTGAAGTAAAAAGACAAGTAGCGTATAATTTTCAACTAAAGGCTGTCATGCATTTCATAAACTTCTTACTTCAGGGTTGATTGCAGGTTAACTGGGCACCCTGCATGTGACTCGCACATACCCTACTGAATCCTGTCTTCACTTTAGCAACAGCCCGCCCAAGATAAGGATCTGTCTTCAATCTACATTTAGTCCACAATAAGCCCAGCCCAGAAGAATAACAAAGAGACCAGAATGAGAAAACATTCATAGTGTTCTGCTGACCACAACCATAAGCTAAAAACAATCTGTTGTGTATAATGTACCTTTGGCCTCCTGCAGTTTCTTCCTCTCTGCCTCACGCTGCTCCTTTGTCAGGTTGCTCTTTACACCGAGGGCACCGATCACTAGTTTCCGAGCCAGTGCTGCACTTGTCTGAGGTCGCTCTTTAGCAGGCAGGAGGTAGTCTGGGGATGAAAAGAAAAAAAGAACCAAGTGGAATTGATCATATTATTGTTTATACTTGAGAGAGACAGCAGTGTAGCTATTTAGGCGCTCTGAATATTAGGAATATAATGCTGTCATTTAATGCTATCAGAGTATTAAACTACCCCAAACCTACAACATGGGACACAAAAAAATAAAGTGAAAAGAAGATGAAGGATTCCTGTAACAAATAGTAGAGCGTCCACAGAGCCCTGATCTCAACATGACGGGATGGTGTGAGATTACATGAGAAGGCAAATGAGACAGCCTAAATGCTGAGAAAAGGTCAGGTGTTTCATCGTTTCCTGTTTACAGCACTTTTAATAAAGGCAACTGACCTAAAAAAATAGTCAAGGCATCCTTTTTGATACAGTACTGTGCAAAACACTGGAAACACAGGCAGGTGCATTGTACCTGAGCAGCTACGGGCTTTGGCCTTTGTGGCAGATGAAGATTTGGAGAGTGGTCGCAACTTCATCAGTGGATTTTTGGATCTTAGAGCTTCACGGGCTTAAAAGAGAAAATAAAAAGTCAATATTCTGTTTAATACCTGAATACAACTGCAAGATTTTATTTATTTTTTTAAAGAATTTCACATTTGTTTACTCATACAACTGACAAAATATCAGACACAAACCCTCCAAAAATGTCCTGGAGCAAACTTTTGGTAAAAGCAAACAGTGTCAGAGTTTATGCGTCAGGGTCTACTTATGTCCACAGATTTTCTTTATTACAACCGTGATATTTCCTGCAGAGGATAATGTACTGTAATTAACTTAAATAGGAAGTAGAGCTTCACTAACCTGCTATGGGGCTTGAGAAGAGGCCCAGGACGTGTGTGTCGTCAATCCACTTAATGTCAAAGCCCCTCTGTCTGGAAACACAGTCAAAAGTCACACATAGACAGTAAAGAGTAGATTATATAACATGACACCTGTGATTCACCATAACATGATTTCTACCAAAGATCCCACACTCACTAAGATATCAAAATAATTGACTCATTGTTTTAATTGCATTACAGGACTTCTTCACAGTTCTTAAAGTTTGTCCTGAAAAAAAAAGTGTATGGTGGCCAATATGAATGCTAAAATTTATTTTCTATCCACCCATTATCTATACACTGCTTAATCCTCACTAGGGTCACAGGGGGGCTGAAGCCTATCCCAGCTGACTCAGGGTGAAGGCAGGGGACACCCTGGACAGGTCACCAGTCTATCACAGGGCTACACTTAGAGACAGACAACCAAGCACACTCACATTCACACCTACGGACAATTTAGAATCACCAATTAACCTCAACATGTTTTTGGACTGTGTGGGAGGAAGCCGGAGAACCTGGAGAGAACCCACGCTGCACGGGGAGAACATACAAACTCCACTCAGAAAGATCCCGGGTGTCCTCACCGGGACGCAAACCGGCGATCTTCTTGCTGCGAGGCAACAATGCTAACCACCGTTCCAACTTGCAGCTAAAATAAATTTTGCTCACTTTAATTATTCGTCCTATTTGTGCTGGCTATTAAACCATCTCTTCTAAATGTGCTTTCAACTGAATCGATGAGGGGACAAGGAGTATCTCCTGCTTTTATGCAGAAATGTATGGCAAAGTTTACATGAAACAAGGAATTAGAAAAAATGCGTTTAAAACAATAATGCTGTTTTCGCAGGATTCATCATGATCTCACAATGAAGAGAAGACATTCAGTCTAAAGCATGTTGATAAATAGGACAGAAATGTGTTAAGGGTAGCAATGATTGTACCAGAGTATACATACTGGTAGCACTGAAATAACTTGAGGAGGTCTTCTGTCTTGAACTCTGCAGGGAAGTCGTAGATTTCTATGATGTGGGAAAGTTCATCATCTGTGAGGTCAATGTCATCATCATCGTCTCCGTCCATGTTGTAATAATCGAATCTGGCCCCCTGGATTGACTCCTTCTTTCTGCCTTCCTTGATAGCCAGCTGGAAGGATGAATAAGGGGTGCAAGGAGAAAGAAAGATGGGAAAAGAAGAAAACAGAAAGACAAGAGAAGGACAAGAGGCATTAGACATGGATTATACACTCACCGGCCACTTTATTAGGTACACCTGTCCAACTGCTCGTTAACGCAAATTTCTAATCAGCCAATCACATGGCAGCACCAAGCCTACCTGAGTATTGTTGCTGACCATGTCCATCTCTTTATGACCACAGTGTACCCATCTTCTGATGGCTACGTCCAGGAGGATAACGTGCCATGTCATAAAACGCAAATAATCTCAGACTGGTTTCTTGAACATGACAATGAGTTCACTGTACTCCAATGGCCTCCACAGTCACCAGATCTCAATCCAATAGAGCACCTTTGGGATGTGGTGGAACGGGAGATTCACATCATGGATGTGCAGCCGAGAAATCTGCAGCAACTGCATGTTGCTATAATGTCAATATGGAGCAAAATCACTGAGGAATGTTTCCAGTACCTTGTTGAATCTATGCCACGAAGGATTAAGGCAGTTCTGAAGGCAAAAGGGGGTCCAACCCGGTACTAGCAAGGTGTACCTAATAAAGTGGCCGGTGAGTGTAACTCTGCATTGTGTTTGTGCAATGTTGTAATAGGATGCATTTTTTTTTTAGCTACGCCTACAAATAAATTGGTAACAAACCGAATGTTCATATTGAGGAAGGTTTTCCGGTTATTGTGACTTTTTGTTTCTATGTCAACAAATTCCCTACCAAACACTCACCTCTTCAAGCAGATGTGGATCCAAACAGTCTCCATCGTCATTGAACAAGGTGTCCCAGCTCTCCTCTTCTCCCTTTTCTTCCTGAGGAGAAGCTGCTTCCAGCTGTGAGGTCTCCACACCGGTTGAGTCGGGATTCCCATTAATCACCACTTCTGCACCTTGCAAACGCTGCTCCTCCTCCACATCGGGCTTGTTGCTCTGCGTCTCACCTCCATCTCCATCTCCTCCTTCAGCAAGTGCTGCCCTCTGTGCTCCTCCAGCCTTGTCCTTCTTGTTCTTAGCGTTCTTTCGTGCCTTGTCTGTGTAGCGAGGTCTGGGTCTCGGCTTAACTTCTCCCTGAGTCTGAGCTTTGTCTTTGGAGGCGTGAAGTCGTTGTTTGGGGACGTACAGAGCCTGGCTGGGCTTCTTTGACTGAGAAGAAGGTGTAGAGGCTGGCTGGGTTGGAGCGCAGTCTTCTTTAGGCTGTTCCGCCTCCATGGTTAAATTATGTTACCAAAACATCTGGATGAATGAGAAACGGAAAGACTCAATTTCACAACAATTTGACACTGATTTATCAAACAGTTAAGTGATTATTACTTCTAATTAACCAAAGTTTAAATATATTTCTTTCAGCGATTTGATCTAGATAAGTCCACCGGGAGCACAGTTTCCAAATTAAACCGCACACTAGCTACATTAAGCTAACCGATTAAGCTAGTCGCTGCTAAACTTCCTCTCGTTGTGGCGGAAGTAATTGTTTATTTAGAACACAAATATAAAATTAATAAATACTCCCATTTACTGTAACTGCATTCATTTACGTTTATTCGCGCTTTTTAAACAGACTATTATAAGATAAATTATCGGCTTACCCGTGTTTGGTTTGTTTAACAACAGATTTTCGTCGCACGACTGTGAAGTCAGCGCAGGTCAACGAAAGGCATTGTGGGAGATGATGTTCTTGTTCGGCGCAGCGCTTCAATTAATGTAATCACTAATCACGTTTATTTCGAGATTAATTTGCTTTTCAGCACAAGGTGTATTGTTTTCTACGTAGAGATGTTTCTCTCAGTAGTAGAAATGACTATACTGTCGCTTTAATGTGTATTTTTTGTTCTGTTGATGGAAAGAGCTCATGTAAAAAGCAACTACAAACAGACCAAACCATGACGTCTCAGAGACACGCGCAAAGAAACACAGGCCAGCTATTGGTCAATCTCCTCATTATTCAGAAAGCTCTTGTCCGATTGGTCAGTTTTTCCTACATTACACAAGCTGTTTCATAAATTTTAAATACACGAGTTGTGTAAGGTGAAAAATCTGTATGTAATAACAGTGCAGACTGTCTCACTTCACTTCAGCGAAATCACATCATCCGCAGCTTTACGCACTGATACGGTAAGACGGTATTAAGATAATGACTAAATGAAATTCCTGCAGGCGACTCTGCTTAGTACAGGGCAGCTATGAGCAGTCATGCATGCTTTCATTAAAATAGATCTCATCACTTTGTGCAAAAGTGACTTACAGCAATTCAAATACTGTGTTGTGCATTATTTTAAATGTTTTATAAGGTAGTAATACACAATGCCATTAGGAATCCACTGTGTGCATTTGCTGCAGTTGCAAAAAATGCTGATTTCACAGGTGGTATGTAAAAGAAATACTCCAAACTTGAAATGTAATCTATGGAATGCTGCTCTTAAATTTGAATATTTGTGTTTTTGCACACTTTGGTAGTTCTAGTATCTCGCTATGGATTATAACTTGAACAATGAAGGAGTCAAATCACATAAAATTAATAATATAGCATGTTTTTTAAAAAAACCTGAGTAGACTGAAGTGTTGTGCATGTTATCAGATAGGTAGAAAAATGAAGAAAATATATAGACAACATTTTGTTTGTAAAACTCAATTAATGAAATGTAACAAAGTAGAACAGGCAACAAAAAAAAGCAGGATAGCAACTTGTAAGATCAAGTTCTGAAAAAAAAATATATGTATAAAAAGACCATAAAGAGCAGCCAAACGCTATTGAAAGGCAGTTCCAAAGCTTTGGAGCAACAACTGCAAAGCCTTGATCTCCCTAAACCACCAGTTTTCATCAGGGAACAGGTATTAAAAAAAAAATTTTTTTTTAAACTGTTGGTCTGGTGATCTAACAGGCCTTGAGGTAGAATCAGGACAAAGAAGTTCAGAAATGCATCCAGGTGCCAACTCATACATGGATTTATACAGAAAAAACAACTTTAAGGTCAATTCTGTATTTAACCAGTAACCAGTGTGAGTATGAAAGAGTATCCTAGCATTTTAGCTCAAGCACAAATAATCTTTCATATTAAATCTTTCATATAATGATCATCATTTCTTTAACAGAGATGCATTAACCAGGTTTAATATGTCATGCTGCAGCAATGTGGGGTTCACGTCTGCTGCTCCTCCTGGTCACACTGTGGCATCAGTCCCACGGCCAGGACTCTCAGCCAATGCTCCAGGTCGTCACACAGACGATGCTTCCTCCTGACAGTGTGCACAATCCCACACAGCTCAACTATGGGATGGCTGTGACAGATGTGGATGGGGACGGTGATCTGGAAGTGGTGGTGGCTGGGTGAGTGTGGAAATCATTAAAAACAGGCGAGCAGATGGGATGGTAACCCTATGTAAGATTTATTTACGTGAAACTGGGATATATGTGACGTTCCCTCTCAGGTACAATGGGCCCAACTTGGTGCTGAAGTACGACCGCGCTCAAAACAGGCTGGTTAATATTGCTATTGATGACAGTAGCTCTCCGTACCATGCACTGAGGGACCGGGCAGGGAATGCTATTGGAGTTACTGCCTGTGATGTGGACGGAGATGGACGTGAGGAGATCTATTTCCTCAATACCAACAATGCCTACTCTGGTAAATAGTGCATTCCCATGACCAGTCCTTACATTTCAAGCAAGTAATTCTAAATAGTGTAATGATATTTCCTCACATTATATGACTTTTCATGCAGGACGGGCAACATACACAGACAAGCTCTTCAAGTTTCGTAATGGTCGCTTTGAGGATCTGCTCAGTGACGAGCTCAACGTGCGTCGTGGCGTCGCTAATCGCATGGCGGGACGTTCAGTTGCATGTGTCGACAGAAAGGTCAGTAAACCTGTTTTACTGATATGAGGGTTGATCAAAAAGTTAACCCCCGTAAAAATCAAATGCCTCCTTGTACACTGATCCAACCCCCACTGCACATCTGTAATGCTTGTAATGCTCCCTGGAAATCCCATTATGTAAACGTTTCAAACACCATCTGCAACGACCGCTGAGTCTTTTAAACTGTGTCAAAACCCTTCAATTTGAATTTCATTTTTGCAGAGCAAGAAGTCATAGGTAGCCACATCTGGTGAGTAGAGCATTTCTGGAGCGGTGATTGTGTTGCTGTGGCCAAAAAACTTGTGCATAATCATCTTGCACATTGGAGCACTACTGCTGTTTCTTCTGTTGGTGGTAGCTGCAGACCCACCTCTCGACACCAGTGATGATCTTTGACACGAAGGCTGGCTGATACAGAATTTTAAGTTTTCTTCTAGGCTCCAGTTTGAGGTGCATGGAGAAAATGCAAAGGCACAAAAACATGTTGATCGCACACCGTTACTGCTCACATGCTGCACACCTGTGACCATGCACACGCTTCTTTCAAGCTCGCCATGAACAGTCTTGGAACTTTTTGATCAACCCTCGTAAAGTCCCACAATTTCACTGTACACACTGCAGCTTCTTTCTTTCTCTTTTAGTGAATTTAACACAGTTTCATCCAAAAAAAACCCAACAACAACCTGTTATTGCTTTGCAGGGAACAGGTCGCTACTCGATCTACGTGGCCAACTATGCTAGCGGCAACGTCGGCCCTCACGCTCTTTTAGAAATGGATGAAGCCGCAAGCAACGTCGCAGAAGGCATCATCGCTCTGTCTGACGTCGCTGCTGAGGCCGGAGTCAACAGGTTCACAGGTCAGGAGTCACGCTGGATGGGAAGCATGTGTTGTTTTGAAGTTGGCAGAGACAACTGAGGCCTTCATGGTTGTCTTTTTGTGCAGGGGGTCGCGGTGTGGTGGTCGGACCGATCCTGAGCCAGTCAAGGTCTGATGTGTTTTGCGACAATGAAAACGGACCCAACTTTCTGTTCAAGAACAATGGAGATGGGACATTTGTTGACATGGCCCGTAAGGCAGGTGAGAATAAAATACACAAGGGAAAAGGGGGAAAAATATGTGACATGTGTACAAAAAACCTTTTAATTGAGCTTAAAATTGTAGTAGTAGTAGTAGTAGTAGTAGTGTGTCTTTGAACATTTAGTTTTACACTATATATTCTGCTTTTTACCCTTCTGTTTTCAGTACCTACTGGTACAAGTTAACTTTTAAAAGGATTTTAATTATTTGCATTATTGCTGAGACTGAAAACAAAGAGACCACTGTTGTGTAATCCGCCTGTTAGCTTAACTTATTTTACTGTGTGTGATGGTTGTCTGAAACCAGTCCGACTGCAAACTTGTGTCCTTAGAGCTCCTGCTTCTGTGATCCAGTAGGGTATAGGCTGCATGAAAAACCATCCATAATGTCGAACATGGGTTTCGTGAGGAGCAGTTTTGCAGCTCAATGTGACGGCTCCAGTCATCACTATCTTGTCCATGCCTTACTCCTCCTAACTCCTGGCTGTTTCAAAAATAAGCAAAGTAGAGCTGGAGGCAGGCAATGGAAACATCTCTGGGTTGTGGACTGTTGTGGACAGGGAATCTCACACCCAAAATTATGCCTAATTTTTAACCTTCATACAATCAAAATGTGTGAATTATTTTAAAAAAAAACCCTGTGCAGTTGTCATGGACAGAGAGAGAATTGCTATAAAGATCAAAAGGTTTTTTGTACCACCCTGGAAACATGTTTAATTCTGCTGTACAGTTGGACATTTTAGCATGAGGGTCAATAGGAAGGGACTTGCTTTTGGGACCAGCCTCAAGTGGCCATTTGAGGAACTGCACCTTTTGACATTTCTTTGTTTGCTTAATTTTACTAAAGTTACTGCTTAGAAAAGACCCAGGATTGTCGACTCCTAGTCTTTATGCTAAGCTAAGCTGCAGGATTTAGCTTTAAATTTAACAGACATGTAAGAAGGGTTTCTCTTAATTTTTGTCATTTTTCTACAGAGTTATATGCAAACACAGTGTTGTTTTTTTTAAATGTTTTTAACACCTTTAATGTTGTGTTCATATATAAAGGTGTGGAGGACCGATACCAACATGGCAGAGGAGTGGCGCTAGCTGACTTCAACGGCGATGGAAAGACAGACATTGTCTATGGCAACTGGAACGGTCCACACAGACTTTACCTGCAGAGCAGCGACTCTAAGTTCCGGGTAAGAGGATAAAAGTTGGTAAAATATAAAGTTTTAATAAAGCGCAACTTGACAGTTATGTGTTGTCCTGCGCAGAATATTGCTACCGAAAGATTTGCGTCACCATCACCTATTCGCACCGTCATCGCTGCCGACTTCGACAATGACAAGGAGCTGGAGGTGTTCTTTAACAACATTGCCTACAGAGGCGTCTCCCCTAACAGGCTCTTCAGGTTACATCTCAATTATTGTATGGACTCAAGTCCCCATGAGACGTTTTTGTCAATTAAGGAATGACTGATAGTAGCCTCAGTTATTGTTCAGGCATTTTTTACAAGCTTGTGTTTGTTTGCAGGGTGTCAAGACGAGCTAATGCAGACCCTTTGATCCAGGAGCTTAATGTGGGAGACGCTGCAGAGCCACAGGGGAGAGGAACAGGTCAGATATCTGAAAAGTCAGTTTTATTCTCAATATTGTGAGACATGTTACCGCGGCTACCTCTGTGCTTGGATGAGACTCACAGCTGTCAGATGACACAACAGTGAGGTTGTTACATAAGTGTGCACAGTGAAAGCAGTCTGTGTGTTTGGACAGGTGGCACTGTGACAGACTTGGACGGCGACGGACAGCTGGACCTGCTGCTGGCACACGGAGAGAGCGCTCAGCAGCCAATCTCTGTCTTCAAGGTCACACAGGTGAGAGTATTTGCTCGTGCGTCTGTATGTCTGTGCTTGTTTATTATAGCACAACACGGGATTAACATGTTAGATACGTTGAGTCTAAAATCAGAGCTTGCAGTGTCACGAAGATGGCTCTATTTTAACCAGCTACATCACCATGGTAACTGATGCTACACAGGTAACCTGCTCTGGTGGAGATTCTGTTCAGAGTTTGGGGTTTAAATTGGCTGGAAAAAGTGCCACCTTTTCACCAACTCTTTCCGGATGATTTAGTTTGAGCGATACAGATCCTGGGCTAAGGTTAAATCTGCAAACCTATTGAGCCATATGTTCATAATGCCATTAAATGAATATACACAGTTACCGTCGTGCAACTGGTATGCGTTGCACTGACACGGTAGCCTTCGTGTATTTAGCTGGTGATGCTAAAAATGCATGAATATGTTTTCATGCTTCGTCTTGATTCCGTTTTAATCCGTTTTAAACTGCGAGTATTGAAGCTAATAAAACCTAGATTAGACAACTGATTGGTCTGTTGGTGTTTGTCACATACAATATTCAATTAATGTAAACAATTTCACTTTGGATTGGGCAAGAACTAAACATATCCTTTATTATGGGACAGTGTCAGACCTAAACATATTTCTTGAGTAAAGTTTAAGAGCTGTAATCTGTCACATTAGAACTAAGCAGCGTGGATTAAGTGCACTTAGTGGTAAAATAAATATAGAAACTTATATGATTAACGGTTTTCTACCACCATTTTTCTCTTGCATTATTCGTAGTAACAGTGCTTTAATCATAGTAAAAAGTTTGTACCCTTTAGAGCTCTCCTTTATAATGGCCTGTTCCTCTGACTGAAGTAGGCGGCACACGATTGGTACATTTGGTGCGGAAGAGAATCAAATTATGTGTGAAACGTCTCCTTTCATGTGAGAGCACAGAGGATGATGAAGAAAACCTGGTTAATGAAGACACTTGATAACTACCGTTGTGATACTCTCTGACTGGGGTTTTAGGTTTTGTTAAGCCAGATATCTCAAAGAAAGCCTGGCTTTGTTGAACTTGCTTCGTGGTTCTCTGACTACCTACAAACTAACCCATCTTCCTTGTTGTCAGGGCTCATCCAATAACTGGCTGCGGGTGATTCCTCGCACCCAGTTTGGCGCTTTTGCTCGAGGTGCCAAGGTAACGGCCTTCACCAATCAGAGTGGAGCTCAAACACGCATCATTGATGGAGGCTCTGGTTACCTGTGTGAGATGGAGCCAGTCGCCCACTTTGGTTTAGGTAAACTCGTTTACACACTGTAGACACTGAAAGAAGATGACATTTAGCAAGTAAACAACACTGTATACTGATATTATTTTTTACTGTCAGCCAAATATGCACATTGTGTTGATGAATATAGTCTGATTTGAAAGGAATAGTTCAACATTTTTGGCTGTAGCCTTGTTTTCTTCTTTTGATGAGAAGGCTGATACCACTCTAATGTTGATGCGTTAAGTTTGTTTGATGCAGTTAGCTTAGCTTAGCTTAGCCTATTGACTGGAACCAGAGGGAAACAGCATCACTTTAAGTGAAGTTAAAAAAAAATCAAACCTCTAAAGCTTATTAATGCACATGTAACAAATCTTTAACCCATAGACAAACAGAAACAACAGTATGTGGATGTAGCGGGAGTCATATATTTTAACTACGTCTTGACAAACAACAGTCACAATCTGTCAAGTTTAACACTTCTGTCATTCCTCCTTTTTATTTGTGTTGTCTAATATACTGTAGTTTTGTTTGTATACGGATTAAACAAAAATTACACAACGTTTTATTCAATAATGTGTTTTTTAACATTGGATAGAGCCGGGCTAGCTAGTTCCCATATGCTAAGCTAAGCTAACTGCGTCTTAGCTCAAGCTTCTGAAGAATATGAATATATAAATGTATTTTGTAAAATGCAGAACTATTCCCTCAACATCTAATATCATGTGCTGTCTTTAACTTAAAAAGATTAAGTCTTTTTAAAAATTTGTTTTACTTTTAATTTGTCAGAATCAGAATAAGAAATACTTTATTGATCCTTGAGGGGAAACTGCATATGTTACATTCAAAGTCTCAAAATTTAAGCAGCAAAAAAAATATAAGACATGAATAGAAAAATATGTCAGAAAAATGTAAACATTCGTAGACGAGTGTAAGCATAAAATGTAGAAATGTACACTGTACAAGGAAAATGTAACTATAAATATACAGTGTACTAAATAATAATAGTCATAATTGTGTTATTGCACAGAGAAGTGGTTGTTGCAAATTTTTGAGTTTCAACTCAAGATGTGAATTTGGTGAAGGTAAAACAAACTGAGAAATTGACTAAATTGTGTGATGCTCAGTGATTTTTCTCCTCACGTCTACCAGGTACCGACCAGGTGAAGGTGCTGGAGGTCTCCTGGCCAGACGGCACAACCATCACTCGAACTCTTCAGGCCGGTGAAATGAACTCGGTGGTGGAAGTCTCCTATCCAAAAGAAGGGGAAATGTCTGTGCTTGCCAATGACACGCAGGTACACAGTACGGATTCACGGCATGAATTATGAACATGTGTATTAGTAAGTAAGTGGCTTTATAAACTGAACCAACACATCACTGTCTTTCTCTGTTAATTGCAGTTTATTAAGAAGCTATTTGACAACAAAATGTAACACAAAACTCTCCATTTTGATCATTTGTAGGCTTTTGTCTGTAAAATCTAAAAGAATCAACGTACTTGAATTAACACGACCGTCTTTTTTTCTTCCTTGTTCTCAGTGTGGAAATGGCTTCACCGTTAAGAATGGCCGCTGTGCAGGTAAGCTTTTTTTTTTAAAATTTGTATTATTACTATTCTTATTTTCAAGTATTTTGTTTGTGTGATTTACTTTAACGTTTATGTTTCTGCAGGTCTGTGAGGATGAAATGCAATAAAGAAGTGCTGTGTTTGTGAGCGATATTGTTACAGAGAACATGGTTTTAATAATCTTTTCTTTTTGTCTTTGTTTTAAGAAAGGAGCCTTGTTTTCTTTACTCTATGAGTAGTTTGATTATTTGTATTTTTAGTTTTTTAGTGCATTTCTTTTGTATTTTACTCAAACATTTCATTTCTACTGCTGTACTTTGATTAAATAAACTGCATCACATCAATCAGCGGCGTGAGTCAGATTATCATTTCATATCTGTCTGGTGACACGTTCGTCTTCAGTCCCACATACATTGACACTGACTTTGACTCACAGCAGCAGTGAATGCAGCAAGTGCTTCCTACATGTTTTCGGACATGCTGAGTTTGCACTAAAACCTGCTGAAACCAAACTATTGCAGGAAGAGTGAGACATGAACTCAGTGGCTGACACAGACTCACTGAAATAATCTGAAAGGATTTAGTTTCTTTCATGTCTTCATCTTCGTTCCACGTGGACGTCAGTTCATTTTGTTGTGTCTCGATCTGATGTCTGCCTTTCTTTGTCTCCGCCATTTTTATTGTCCCCTCCCTATTCTCTTCCTCCATCCATGCAGCGTTGGCTCCATTTTACGACGGTGTTCGTTCTGCAGTCTCCCCGTTTGAAGCCTCCTGTTTTAGCACAGCTTTACTACAGTGTGTCATAGTGCTGTCTGCTCTGGCAGATCTGAGGTGAGAGTAGTCTTCAGTGAAATGACGACGGCTTTTATCCAGCGCTGCACGCCTGGACTAAACCTGCCATAAGGACTCACTGTGGCATGCAGTGTCCATTTGTTCTGTCTGGATGCACTATTTATACACATCCTAGCATCTGGGCATCCTGCGGTGTGGATCCTTCCTGTTTGTTTTGATGAGCTCGTTGCATGAGGAAGTCCGTCTGTGTTGTAAGTGAAGACTGAGAAACTGGGATCAGTGTCGTGCCCTTTACCCAGCTGCAGTGTCATATGACGAGGCAGGCATGCATGCAAACATGAGGGCATTTGATTCACCAAAGTTGTTCACCACACTTTGACTTGTCAGAGGAATCCTAAGCTACGAATAACCTTATTGTTGACTCTGATTTATGTAAGGGTTCCATTCAGTCTTGACAGGAAGATACTGAGTGCATGCACAGAGGAAATGGAATCTATCCATAATTAATTTTGTTTACAACTGTACTGTTGTGACAACATAATCCTTTAATGAACAGGGTGTTTTGCATAGAAATAAACATTCTCGTGACACTTTTAAGGTAGTAAATTTCTCATAGTGATGTGGAACTGTGTTTATATACAGCTGTAAAGACAATCTATATGACAGCTTAATTTTCTGTGATGGGTTGATTGAAGCACATGTGTCTTTTTCACAAAAGAACCATTCTTTTTGGTCCTTTGTATATTTATTATAGGTGTTCTGGATATATGTTAAAATCTGCTGGGTCAAAAATATACATGCAGCAAATTCAATTATCGGTTTTAGGGAGTGATTACAATTGACTACAACTGATGACTTCTCTGAGCCAATTAAAATAGAGATCATTTGATACACTCATTAGACTCTGCCACAATTGAATTGCCTGCTGATTGCATGAACAAAGAAAAGGCTTTTTAGAGGAAGGTTCAGTAGTCAGATAAAAAGAAAACTGAGCTTTTTGGCCACAATTAATATGTTTGGAGAGGGGCTGCAAGGTGGATCGGTTTTACATTGCAGCAAGAAGGTCACCGGTTCATGTCCCGGTGAGGACACCCGGGATCTTTCTGCATGGAGTTTTCATGTTCTCCCCGTGCAGCGTGGGTTCTCTCCGGGTTCTCCGGCTTCCTCCCACACAGTCCAAAAACATGTTGAGGTTAATTGGTGATTCTAAATTGTCTGTAGGTGTGAATGTGAGTGTGCTTGGTTGTCTGTCTCTAAGTGTAGCCCTGTGATAGACTGGTGACCTGTCCAGGGTGTCCCCTGCCTTCACCCTGAGTCAGACAGACTCCAGCCCCCCCAGGACCCTTGTGAGGATTAAGCGGTGTATAGATAATGGATGGATGGATGTTTGGAGAGACGGTGCGACCTTTAACCCCAAGAACACCAAAACTACCGCCAAGCATGGTGATGGCAGTATTATGCTCTTGGGCTGTTTTGATGCCAGTGGAACTGGTCTTCCCCAAAGTATTGACTTAATCGAATTGAGAATCTGTTTGTTTCAGAAAGCCAACAAATTTAGTTAAACCGCACAAATTCTGTCAAGAGGAAGCCTGGAAGATAGAAGACTTGCCAAAAGCTTGTGGACAGCTACCAAAATGAACTTTTAAGACATTTACCCAAATTTTAGCATTGCTGTATTATATTTTTGACCCAGCAGGTTTTGTCATGTCAAGACCTATAATAAATTTATGAAAAAACAAAATGCATGACTGTTTTGTGTTGTTTTTTTTGGATGAAGCATGCGTTTTAATGAATGCAGCTGTAAATCTCTGCTGATGAGAGCCGCGACACGGAACAAAACCCTAAAGTTACAGATAAAAAATATGATTAAACACAATGATAACTGAAGCGTTCAGAGGAATTACACAGCCGGTACATTATTGTGTGGAGGTTCATTGCTATGAGCAATCCTTTTCACATTATACACAGTCATTATTATTGCAAAAATGTTGGCCTGGGCAGCTTTTATTTGGGCTGCATTTAGCAGCTCCTATGCATGCAGAGGAACTGTTTTGGCCTACCAGCATATTTAAATGGAACAAGGCTATAATTTTTTACTACAAATGGTCCAGTTAAATTAAAAAATAAGTATTTGTACCTGATCCAAAAGGCCACAGTTTAAACAACAGCATACATCTTCAGACACTCTCCTACAAGGCATTCATAGCGTTGTACTTTAAAGTCAAATGAAAAGTGACAAATAGCTGCGTAACATAAAAAAAAGGAACTTGAGACAGAAGTCAAATAGCTTGCCATAAGAAAAAAACTTTTTTTATATTTAAATATTAATAACAGATAATAACAGAAACGTGAGCTCTGTGCAGTTGTGATGAAACTGTTTATTTGACACCAGTCATAAATACCTCATCGCCATGTGTATCAAACAACAAGCAGTACGAAAAGTTGTTTCTTGCACAAAATGTCACCAAAACAAAAAGACACATTCACATTTGTGAGCCAGTTTTTTTTTGTTGTTGGTTTATTTTTTTGGCAGTTATTGTTCTTTGGAAGTTTGTTCATAAATCAAGGAGGGGTTGGTGTATATTTTAAAACACTACACTTAAGATTCAGGAAGACTTCTCTTTTTTTTTGACCCATCCTTTCTCTACTTACTGCTGCATCTATTGCACAGTAAGTCTTTGCATAATCGAAATTTAGGAAGAGTTGGTCTCGCTCAGTGACACCAAGAGGTTAGTGCTTGGATTTGTGCACGTGTCTGTGTGTGACTAACAAGTGAAATTCAGGCTTCGAGTGAGAAATGTGGAAGATCTGCTACATTATATACATGGACGGGTTTGAATGACATTCATCTGCTACCAGACAGCATGATTTACAGCTGAGGTGAAAGAGGAGGAGGAGGAGGAGGAGGAGGAGGAGGAGGTGCTTCGTACTGATTATGTGGGCGAAACTTTGCTTTACTCAAACACTTGTGCGTCCTTTGCTAAAATCTGAAAACTCTGAGAGACAGATAATTTTAAAAAAGCCAGGGTTTGGTGTGAGGGTTGATGGGAATGAAATCAGTCTCCTGGTTGGTCCAGTGTGGTGCAGCTGTGGCGGCTGAGGTATGAGATTTGATGAGGTTTGTGGTCCTCTCAGCGATCCTCCCTTTTTAAAAAAAATAAAAAATAAAAAACTTCAAGGACCACAGGAAGGAAAGAAATAGCACGATCACACAAAGTATTACTAGCTGCGTGATTTGATTTCCTTTTTGTTCTGATATTGCATCCTGGGGCTTGAAAACTTCTTTGCAACAAGCTAATAAAGTTCACGTTTTAAGCGTTTACTGTGAAAAAAAAGCCTCAACAATTTGCGATGGAAGAAAAACAAAAGCTAGTTAATCCTTTGTGTGAGCGTAGCTTAGGAGTGTACAGGCTAAGTGTTGGAACATGATCTTTGCCGTCGTCTCTTCCGGGGATGTGAGTGATCGGGGTAGGGGACGCGGTTTTAGGAAGCACCCAGTCATCGAGCAGTGCTGCCGGATACAGAGCTGCTGCCTGAGCTGGAGCCACTGGAGCCCCGGTCCTCATAGATGGAAATCTCTATCTGATGACAGTAGTTAGGGTCCAAGAATTTTCCTGTAGAGTGCAGTTAAATACATGGAAAAGATATTTTTCTAAAATTTATATGCATTCAAAAAGACTGAGGAAGGATACAACACGCATTCCCCTTTCTATGGGATCTGTGATGAGCAGACCTCTGGGAGCGTAGATCTTCTCATTCTGCTCCTGAATGTACTTGGCTATCTTCTTCAACACCTGCAATACACACAAACAGAGCAAGAAAAAAAAATGAAAAACCATGTTGAACACAAGTTGTGTGAATGTGAAGAAGACCAGACCGACCTTCTCATAGCGCGTCTCCATGCAGAGGAAGATGAGGTACGCTGTAGCGCAGGCCAGACAGCCCTCCAGGTACGACTGTCCTCCAATCTTTTCTGCCTCTGCGTAGTAATTGTTCAGCGTCTTCACGGTGTCCTCGAACAGCGTCCGCTCAATCTGCAGCCACATGAAGGAACAAGAGGAATAAACTCAGGTAAGCTGGTGAGTTGAACACAACATACTGCAATCCTTAAGTTACAGGTTCAGTTTCCAAAGCTTCATTATGAACTACATTACCAGTTCCTCTTTGGTTTCTGCTATTAAAAACCCACTAAAAACAGCATCTACTTTCTGCACAGTGGCAAGATGAAGTAAAGGTGGAAACAAGTTTTCTCACAAATGACAACTACAACATAAATGAACTGAGGCTGCAGCCAACTTTTAGTGTTTGTTTTCTCAATTAGAAGCACTCTTAAATCATTAATTGACCCTCTGAAACCCCCAAACCGCTGGCAGGTTTGAAAGGCAGGTTATCTTCCAAAAATAAATCGTCAGAAAGACACTATTTATCAGAATCAGATTGTCAGCCTTCCTGGAACTACTCATCTGTGATGTACGGTTCTGTGAAGCCTGAATTCATGATGTTTAAACAAAATTTCTTTATCCTACATGTGTTCCCTAAAAAATATCCCAAATAAAACCTTTGCTCGACCAGATTCTGCAAAAAAAAAAAAGAAAAATTCTGTGTTCCTGAGCACAACTGAGAAGCCAATAAGCACATTAAAAAATGTCAAAGGCTCTTCGGCTGAACTGGGTTAAACAGAGCAGAGAGGAGGCCAGTATGTAAACAAATTAAAGATTAAATGTTAAAATATCTGTCATCTTGAAACCTGAGTTCTCTCTACTTCTACCAATGGTTGTCCTGTTTCTATAGAGGTGCAGGATTTTATATTGCAGTGAAAAATGAGCCCACAGTGAGAGAAAACATGACAGGAGTGAAAAAAATAAAATAAATACACCCACAAACTGCTTACAGTTCAGATGGTTGAACCTCTAGAAATTCCTCTCTGTGTATCAAAGTCACATATTTAGACAGCGGAATGTAAGAAATCTATAAAAGTCCCTGCAGCTCTCTACACCCACTTCTCCTCCTCCACTCGGTGCAACTCAAGCACTCCAGCTCACCTACGACTCTGCTCAAACACTGTAAAACTACTCATCGCTTCACAATAGCAAGTGGCAACACTGGAGTAATTCAGCCAAACGTTAGAACTGGTAAATGATTCCTAAATAGTAGTTTACAATCCCACTGAACAAAACGGTGCAACTAGGAAAGCGTAAGCAAGTAATCTTCAGCATTTCATTTAGAGAAATAACAGAGACAACCTACTGTTCCTTAATCCAAAATGGAGAAAATATAGTCTGTCTTAATAGTTCATTCTATTTCTCCAACTTATCATTTTAATATAAGCATTTTTTTTTCGTGATGCACGATATCAAAATTTCTGGCCGATACCGATATCCAGTATTAACATTTCTGATATCGCCGATAACCGATATTACCTATGTCGATGTTCGCTTTTTGTTCACACCGAAAAATGAGGATAAGTAAGCACTGTGAGAACGTGAAAACTATTCAGAAGAAGCCCGTACCAAATTAGACCACATAATCCTCTTTATTATGTAACAAAAGTAAAACATATTTAAACATATTTAATATTCAAGTCCAGGACAATTTAAGTAAAAACATCAGTGAAATAGCAGCAACAGCAAATGTAGAGACGACGGCGCTAATGTTAGACTATCATCATTTTTTCACACTGGCTGTTCCGTGGATCGATACCGATATATGGGAACAAACACTAATATCAGCCGATACCGATGTGCTCGCTGATATATCGTGCATCCCTAATTCTTTTCTCTTCATACTGTAAATCACACAGTGCATTTATGTGCATGCATGCTTAGTTGCGTACATTAAAGCAACACAAAACCCTACTGTAAAAGCAAAATTAAACTGAACACGCTCCTCACCCTGCTCTCCAGCTCAGAGGGAAACTTGGTCTGGAACTTGCAGGTGGTCCCTTCGCTGTAGTCCCTCTGGATGAACACTTTATTGGCCAGGGATGCGCTGTGCCTCAACTCCTGCAGGTTATGGAACTGCAAAACCACACAGCAGAATGAGAGTTAATACAGTATCTCATTAACGAGTCCCCAGAGTGAGCCGCGTCCCTCTCAGAGCACCTGTTTCACTTTGCATTGTGTACAAACAGAGGCTGCTTCGGAAGTGTAGGATGATGGAGCAGGAGCAGACAGAATGTGATCAATCACTCTGTGGCTCGGTGTCTGCACTCATTTCTGCCTTGTTAACTGCTGGAGCAGAGCCCAGCGATGGACATACTATCTGTTACAACACACACACTTTGATTCTTTTCCCTCCTTTCTCTCTGGTCTGACAAGAGGGAAGCTCATCCTGCAGGAGATGGGACAACAGATCGATGAGCTGGAGATGGAAGCTATGCAAATATTTATGCTGTATCCTGCAGTGTGCATTGATGTTCTTATAATTATTATTATTATGATAGTGCATGCATAAAAGCACCCAAGACGCATGGAGGAAGGTCAGGGCGGCTTCTGTCCATGGTGCTGAACGCTTTATTCCTTCATCTGGGAGTGCGCGCGTGTGCGTGTGCGTGTGTGTGTGTGTGGTCAAACACAGTGGCTTGTCACCGGATTAACGTGATTTCTCAACAGACAAAAACAGATCTGCTTTCACCAAAACAGCTTAACATCGCGGTGGTTGTTGGTTGGGTGGGTGGAAGGGTTTTTTTTTTTTTTTTTTTGCGCGCTGATCCGCTGTTTCTGAGCAATTTCTGTCTGCATGTAGCCCAGCTGACTTTCAAAATTGCACCCTCTTTTTGTTGGGTTTTCCTCTTTAATAATACATACAGTAATAATAAAAACACCAGAACACGTTTACAGGGGGAGTGGAGGATAAACCGACCTCGGACGAAATGCAAAAAAAAAAAAAATGTAGGACACAGTCTTTGATTCAGGTGGCACAGTTTAACCGTGCGCAGCCTCGATGCCCTCGCTGACCGCCGGTTTCATTTCAACGTAAAGACACTGTTGATGCAGCCGATCGTGAGAGGAAAAGAAAGGAAAAAATAAAGCTGAGCAAGAAGAATAAAACCGCCAGTGTGCCAGGCGCTTACCTCTGTCGCCATGTTGCCATCCGTGGCCGTAGGGACGAGTCCCTGCATGCGCTGAAAATCGCTTTAGTGGGACACGGAGGGGAGGAGGAGGAGAGGAGGAGGGGATGGGTGAGCCGGAGGGGCGGTGCTTACGGTAGTACGGCTCCTCCACGGCCTCGGTGTGCGTTTGCATCACAGCAAAACATTTTAACTCATAGTAGAGAGAGCACACGTGTTAGTGATGACAGCAGCTCCTCAGTCAGGACGCACGATCTGAAACTGGAGCAGCAAAGGTTTCATTTCTTACCATCCACACCTGGAGGCTGCTCCATAACGTCAGTTCAAACAAATGAGCCAGGCTTATTTCAGTCAGGTTTGTTTAATTCCATAAAGGAAGTGTATGATGGAAACTTAGGTTAGGAGACAAACCTAGGGCCTGTTTCAAGCATACCAAGTGGGAATTTACACCTGACTTGAATGAACCTAACAAACGATTCAGAGTTAAGCCTGTTCCATCTGTTATATAAAGCAAATTCATACTGGAATCTTGAGCTGGGAAACTAATACCTGTCCTGTTTCATAAAGTGCACAAAGAAATGTAGGAATTCCTACATGATTTGAATGAATCTAACAAATCAGTCAAGGTTAAACTTGTTCCATAAAGCAGGTTTAACAAATATCCAGGCTTATTTGAGTCAGTGGGTCTTACTGTCAGGTTATTGCAGTTCCATAAAGCATATAAAATAAATAAATAAAATAAACAAATCCTACTAGAAACACGTGCTGCATGGGAAACTAACCAGGGGCCTCCTTGATCAAATGAGTTTAACAAATGATCCAGGCTTGTTTCAGTTAGTCTGACTTATTAAAATGCTGTTTCTGCTCTATAAAGCACATTCTTACTTGAATCTTGAGCTGGGAAACTAACATGGGTCCTGTTTCATAAGGTGCACAAAGAAATGTAGGAATTACTACATAATTTGAATGAATGTAACAAATCAGTCAAAGTTAAACTTGTTCCATAAAGCAGGTTTAACAAATACCCCGGCTTATTTCACTTAGTGGGACTTATTGTCAGGGTATTTCAGTTCAAAAAACCATATAAAATGAAAAAATAAATAAAAATCATACTAGCAACTTGTGTGGGGCCTCCTTGATCAAATGAGTTTAACAAATGATCCAGGCTTGTTTCAGTTAGTCTGACTTATTGAAAGGTTGTTTCTGTTCTATAAAGCAAATTCATACTGGAATCTTGAGCTGGGAAATTAACATTGGTAGTGTTTCATGAAGTGTGCATAGAAATGTGGGCATTATGACACGATTTGAATGAATTAACAATTCAGTCAAGGTTAAACTCATTCCATATAGCGGGTTTAACAAACAAATCAGGCTTGTTTTAGTTAGTCTGACTTACTGTCTGGTAATTTTAGCTTCATAAAGCGAAAACTTCACACTGAAAACTAACCCAAGGCATGCTTTATAAAGTGCGCTATGAATAGTGAGAATTACTACCTGACTTGAATGAACCGAACAATTCAGTCAGGGGTTCACCTGTCCCATAAAGTCAATTTAACAAATAATCCAGGCTTATTTCAGTTAGTCTGACTTACTGTTGGGTTATTTCAGTTCAGAGTACCTGAGCTCTGCTATGCTGAATTTGTTTTATGGAACCAAAATAATCCAAAAGTAAGTCAGACTAACTGAAATAAACCTGGCTTATTTGATAAATTTGGTTTATGAAACAGGCCTCAGGTTCAGATCAAGTTAACTGTCAGGTCAACTCTGAGTTGTTGCTTTACCAGAGTTCCTGCAACACTGACATGTACCTTATTAAACAGTTTTGATCCAAAAATTGAACTTTACAGAAAATCAACTTAGATAACCTACACAATAAATGACAAAATGTAGACCTACAAACCTGTTCAGCTATATAGAATGTGATATCAAACATTAAGGTTTATGCAACACAAAATAAATCTAAATAAACAGCTAACAATATAACTGCACAAATCAGGGTATGTTGACCAGAAATATATTCTAAATCCATCTACCTTACCTTACCTTACCCTACCTTGAATCCTCCCAGGGGAGTGATTGAAGTATCTATCCATCTGCCTCTAAAAGCTTTTCAGGCAGTGTGGGACATTATTCCACAAGCCAGCATCAACAACCTCATTAACTCTCTGCGTCACAGATGTGTGACTCATTTCTTATTTCTGATCTGTCGCCCCACTCTCAATCAGCCAACAATCATTTCCAATATAGTGTGCAAATGGTTGTTTCATAAGTTCCATTGTGTACAGCAGAATGTAAAGACGCAGAGTGTTTGATCACCAAAAACATGTTCCATCCATCCATTATCTATACACTGCTTAATCCTCACGAGGGTCGCGTTGGGGGCTGGAGTGTATCCCAGCTGACTTAGGGTGAAGGCAGGGGACACCCTGGACAGGTCACCAGTCTATCGCAGGGCTACACTTAGAGACAGACAACCAAGCACACTCACATTCACAGCTACGGACAATTTAGAATCACCAGTTAACCTCAACATGTTTTTGGTCCTTGTGGGAGGAAGCCCGAACCCGGAGAGAACCCACGCTGCGGAGAACTTGCAAACTCCATGCAGAAAGATTCCGGTGCCCCCACCGGGACGCGAACCGGCAACAGTCTTGCTGCGAGGCAACAGTAAAAACATGTTCCCCTACTTCAAAAATATTGGATAGAATGTAATATAATGCTACATGTTCTTTCTCTTTTTTTTCAGCATAAATACAGTAGTTTTGGAATTGAAATATTGAAACTGCTGTAAGTTTTACAAATTCAGGCCACAAATGTCTAAAAATGTAACACTTAACAGTCAGGTTGCTTATTGAAATGATGAAAACCAGACACCAAAATTCAAAATAAAGAATTCAAACGTGCACATCAGACCTACCAGAGATGTGTAATCAAGCTTGAAGCTCTTTAGAAAAACAGAACTTAAGATAATTACTGATATGTGGTTTTCACACTTAAGTACGTCCAATGCTACAAATTGGGGGTATTAGTATTGAAAATGTCTACATTAAACATCCAGCAGTGGTCACAATTGCTGCATATAAAATTCTTATGTGAAAAAGAAACATGCTTACAACTTGTCGCTTTAATTAAATCTTCACAGAGTTTATTTTAGTAATGGCATATTCCAACTTTTAAAATAAGGGGGCAATATATACAGAAGTAATCATTGATTCAAATGATAACTTGCACTTTCTGGAGTTTTAAATTAAATATATTAGATATAGAACAAGTAACGGTAACGTTTTTTTTTTTTTTTAATATATACGATTACAATAAAAGCAAAGCAAACAGTTACAATCATCTGTGTCTGAATCGTGATTAAAACGACTGCCTCCAGGATTTACCTCCTGGGTTTCGGCGCCTCCACATCAATTCTTCTTCGTGTCAAGTCCCGCTTGCAAACAGTGTGAGGCTCCGACGGCGGTTTCAGCTGGTTTCACAGTCCATTCAGATTACTTTAATCCAGTTGGGTTGACTTTGATCCAGTTAGAGGAAAAGCATGGGCTTCAGGGACCTCTAGACTTTTAGGCTGCTCATATACTCCAAAAAAATAAAAAAAAATAAAGGTTCATGACACGTCCACAAAGGAATGAAACGTGGGATGAGCAACAATTTGAATAATACAAGAGGAGCGAGCTGTTCTGCGAAAAAGAAATTAAAAAATTAAATAAATCACAAAGCCTCAGTCCCCACCATCTACACGCCACCATTTATCATGTGATTTACAGCAGGCCATGCATTTTCCGTTTACTGCATTAGAGTTATGGGTTTTTCAGTATTTCATATCTGCTCTTGTCTGCGTCTTATGAGCTCCTTCAGCAGGCGGGAACCTCAAGTCAAAGTGAGCATTCCTCTCGCAGGATCGCAACAAAAGTAAAATGCACAGAATGCTCTTGGATATGGCATCGTGAGCAAATATCGACCTACTTACCGACTCGAGGTCAGACACTTGGACGAACGTACAACTGATCACGTGAAATTGCTGACAGCTGCGGGTCAAAGTGTTTCAGTGAACAAGCCTGTGCAAATGTTTTGACTGGTTTGGCTGGCCAACGCAGAACCTCTTTGGGTTGTACATCCATTATTTTGTTCAGTTTTGTGTGGCACAAACGTCTCATTCATCCCCAATCTAAACGTACGTCAAATTTACAGTGCAGCCTCAGTTTTTGTTCATACGGAAAAGTCCTCTCACTGTTACAGTACAGTTAGTCTGCTACACAGGGCTAAAGATATCAACATTCAAGTGGAATCAACTTTGCGGAGAAGCAAAGTTTGACATCCTTTTATGTCTATTTGTATCATCCAACACCGCTAGCTCAGTCCTGGCTCCGACGTGCATGCTTTGTACTTATATCTGCTCGGAAAGAGGGGGAAAAAATAGGTCCTATAAATTTTAGAGCCATCTGTGCTCTGTTGTAAGTCTCTTTGATTCATAAGGTCCAGTCCTTCACTGACAGTTGAAACGGGGAATATTTAACATATTCAGTCCCATAAGCAATAAAAGATGCTAAGGAGGGGTGCAAAGACAGGGGGGTCTTTGAGGTCCACGTGGGAGGCATCTTCACGGATGTAACTTGAAAACCAAGGCATGTAGGTCAGGGTTTCAGTGAAGGGCTCAGGGGTGAACAGTGAATGAACTCCTGCTGCCCACCAGGAGAACAAAAACTAACATGCCATCTCATTGTAACTTGATAAGAGAGGAATTACAGGCAGCACAAACAAACACGGTCTCTCTCTGCGCCTCCGGAGCTGAAGAGGAAACAACAATAAGAGAAGGGAACTCAGGATTGTGTGACAGTGATGTGATGCAACTGTCATGCAATTTCAGTAATCTGTCTAAAAACAAAAATCTCTTTTTTTTTTTTCCCTTCTCACCTGTTGCTCCCATGTAAGATCTCAGCACCTTATAGGAACAACATCGGGAGCAGAAGCTGTTGCCACAGTTACTGCAGTTCCTCTGCAATAAAAAGAAACATCAGGTTGAAACGGGTGCCAATAGCAAACAAAGACAAAATTAAATGCGATAATGACGCAGTGGCTAAAAATATCCCCAATTCTTGTCACAAGTTTTCACTCTTACCCTCTTCTTCAGGACTGAGAAGACAGCATTGCAGCTAGAACAGTTGCCTTTGGAGACAGAAAGAAACAGCCATCAGGGAGACAGAAAATAAGATGTGAGACTTGCTGAAAGACTCTTCTTTCCTCACAGAGGTAGGATAAGAGGGATGAAGTTAGCGGATGAGTCAGAGCAGACTGACCTGTGCTGGCTGTGGGATAGCGTTTCCGCAGTTTCTCTGTCAGTTTCGACACTTTGCTGCGAATTGGTTCGTTGCGGCTCAGAAGACCATTTTCAGAGATGGTGTCATACTCTGGAGCTCCCAGAGGCCCGTCGTCATCCTCCTGAGGGAGAGGAGGAGGAGGAGGAGGGGGGCAGACAAAGAAAAAAATGGTTACATACTGTACAAGTAACCGGAGATGGTCTTATGGGGTTTGAAAACCTGGCCAGGAAACAGATCAAACAGCAGTAGGCCTGATCTGGCTGACATTCAGCCAGTGTGAGTGACAGATGTTTGGCAAACAAATCAAGCATGGTGATGGCAGATACTACGACTGCTAGGGCGATGACCGAGGTGGGAAATACATGCATTCGCAGGAAAAATACATGCACGCAGACAGCTGAACTTGATCTATCTGCCAAACATAAGGAAAACCACCACAAATAGGACTCTACTGATTAAAGTCTAAGGAAACTGGGTTAATACAACCTAAGCCACCGCACTGAATGGCACATCTAACACTACATGTGACAGCAAGAAGATGGTGGAAGAGGCCCAGAGAGAAAGAGGACGCACAAGGAGAAGAGATGAGTTTTTTTCAGAGAACAGAAGAATTATATTATTCAATATTAGGAAATTTCAAACCGTCCACCCTCGGCTTGAGATACAGACAGTCCGACCAGTACTGGATTTTTTGCATCAGTGCCGACTTGTAGAGATGTTGATACATCCCCTGATGTTGAGAAGATCATTATTTAACAACTTTCAGCAATTTACCATTAAGACACCACTCGACTCGGCACCACCGTCTGCTCAGCTCTGATAAACACTCTGCTACATGTGCTGCAGACAGTGCTGAGAGTCGGAGCTGGTCTCCTGAGCAAACTATGTGACACGATTTCTAAATTACCGCAAAAATCTTTTTCTCTATTATGAATAAAAAGGACCTGCTTTTATATCAGCGAACATTTGACAATACGATGCCTCTGTGACGGGCCAATATCAGTCAATATATTGATCACAATCAATATATATGTGTTGTTTTATTGCTGTTATTTTATTGTTTTACTGTTTATTTTACTGCTGTTTCTGTTTTAAGTTATTTTATAGTCTTTAAGTTATTCTCTTGTTTTCACTGTGAAGCACTTTGGTCACCCTTTGGGCTGTTGTGAAGGGCTACACAAGTAAACTTTGATTGATTGATTGATAGATATCTGTCAGGCTCTAGAGAACAGAACAGTTTGCTTCTGCCTGCTGTATTTATCTTGCCAATAAATAGATGAGAATGTTAATGCAACTCTCACGTCTTGTTAAATGTGAACTTTCAGGCAGCAGATGGTGATGTTAACTTAACAGATGGGCTTCACTGGCTGCTTCCAGTCAAGCAATACCTGCGCTGAAAGGAAAGTCGGCCAATGTAAACTCAAAAAATATATCTTATCGTGTACCAGTTCATCTATGCACATGCTATTTTAAAAAACAACAACAACTATATGCCTCCGTGCAAACCACGCTTTCAGTCAAACACTGAAAAGCAGGAAAAGCTCAGTTTACTGATGTAATATGGTGCATGAACAATGCCAGTCATGCAGACCAGAGATGAACAAACACCCTGATGGGATTATTGAAGTCCACAAATATGGGCCTGTTAATTTTTAGCCGTGTCTCAATACAGGGGCCGCATCCTTTGAAGGGAACGCCTCCGTAGACCGTGAAGCGTTGTTAAATGATATGGTCTGCTCGACGGAGAACTTCCTATTTGTGTCACCAGCTGTTCCTGCCTTCACCCAATGCGTCACCAAACGCTGCTGCTGTCACCCAGCAGCCTTGACAGCTGCACGGACGCATTTTTAACATTCGTGCCATCGACTTCACTGATTTTAAAACCTGGCACTAAGATTTGAAAGTTTACTTCTCGGCTGCTGCCTCATTTTGAGGCATTTAAGTTAATGTTTAAACCATTAGAATACAATATTTTAAGTTCATAGTAAAACAAAGATAATTTACATTTATTTAAGAGGAATTAAAACAAATATTTGCAGTATGTACAAGAGGATGCTCATTTTTACAGTGATACAATAAGTTGATAATTTTTTTTGCACTTACAGTGTCTAGGTAATTTAAAAATTAAAAAATGAATTTATATAACCTTTGTAATATATGGGAATAGGTGGCTGTAATATTTGCTTAACATTCACAGTGTACCTTTATTTGTCTTTAATCCAGGGGAATAGGGAGACACGCTGTTTTTTGGCCTCTATTTTTAATCATCTTTTACAAAGTATTCCTGTGGTGCGTGAGTAAAAGTAAACAGTTCAGCTTTATCGAGCAGTTTTGGGGATATTTTGTATTAATGTGGATTACTAAGAGATGAATTGTCAAAGCGACACGCTGACAGCCTAATTAACTGGAAACCTACAGCTATATTTCAGAAAAAGTCCAATTACTATTGACGCGCAATGAATCTTGGGATATGCTGGCTGCAAAAAATCCAAAGGGTGGCTCCTTCATCCTGCATTTCTTTACCACATTTGCAGGAGCCTTCAAAACCTTTTTGCACCTCTGTGACGCATTCAGTCTTGAAATTCAGCCCCTGGATTGAGACCCAACTGTAGCATTGCCTATTATGGTCACATGCCGAGGGACAAACAAATGAATGGACTGACGGACGGATGGATGGAAAGGAGGTGCTGGGAAATCCACTTACCACTAACACCAAAGGGGTTTCCTTGTCAGGAAACAGAACACACAACATTTAGTGTGACTAACCTTGAACATACCCAACACCATGCTTTTAAACACAGAGCAAGTACACCACAAGGTTTCCTCACACAAAAATTAAACGCATGAACTTCATGTGTTTAAGCAGTTGTACAGTGTGAATTTACTGGGTGATGGTGCAGTAGCCTCTTCTAAACAGAAGGGGGCAACACTCACCTGTATTGAACCTGAATGTTCCTGAGTTTTGAGGACAGCAAAGGAAAAAAAACAAACGAAAAAAAAAACAACAGGAGGTTTGTCATCAACAGGAAGAGGTTAGTTCTTCACACACTGGCTCAATCCCAATCTCCACCCTCTAGGCCTAATCTCTAAATCCTCACAGATTCAACCAACATCACCTGTGTGCACAGCTGTAGTGCTGTAGTGTAGTTGGGTGTTTAAATTTAGTACAGCTTAAAATGGTATAAAAAGGAGGGTAGGACACACCATTGTAAAAGCATTTCAACAAAAGTTATATTGGACTTGTGCTCTATTTGCTGTTTGATTAATGTGTGTTTACATTCTAACAAACTACCAAAAGGCAGGAAAGCAAAAGGTAAATAAAAATGCAAACAACGCTATAAAGGTGCAATAAATAACCACAACAGTGAGGAATCAGACTCTGTCACTTAGAATTAAACTGTAGCTTAGTTTGTGTATATTTTGGAGTTTATGTATGTATGTACAGAAAGGGTGCACAATGTAAGGAAAAAGTCCACATAGGAGCCCTTATTAACTTGAAGATTTGACAGTGAGATCGCCCTGAGTCCCGAAACACTTAGCGGGAACATGCCTCAAAGTTTGGAGATCCTACAATGACGTCTCAAATATGGACATAAAGATCATTTACAAAATTCATCTTTCAGGTTCGTTTTACTTATAACCTTATCTGCTTTCTCTACGATAATAAGATGAAAGGATTGATACCACTCACATGTCTGAGCACTTCTTTCTTTAATCAAAAGCCAAAGTAGCCAAAATACTTGTCATCCATTAAACAACTATTTCTCTTACTGGCACTGTGAACGCAGTGCCACACTGTGAATATCACCTTTGGGCGTGGCTGCATGTGCTGGATCAGGTATGAACGCCTGGACGGCAGACATGAGAGGTGTGTACCAGCAAAGGGCTGCTGTAATCCTCCTTTCTACTCTGACGTGTCATTTATCACAAATTTAATAAGCAGTATATCTGTAATCTCACCTGACATTCTGAGAAACAAGTTATGGTAGCCAGAAATGTAAATAAAGACTCTCCATAGCAAAACAAGGCACTTCAGTCTTGGTTAAAAAAAACACCTGTGGCACAAAAAATGTAACTGAAAAGGGCTTAATAAAATATTTAGGGATGTGTTTACCTCAATGGCATCCTTAAATTCATCATCAGGCTCAGCCTCCTCAGCTTCCTCCACACTGCCAGGAGACAGGTCCTGTCATCGAATACACACAAACACAGAAGTACTTTTATAACTTATATTCTATCGTGATCCCAGTCATGTTTCAATCTGTGGGATGGCCAAGAGATCATCTTAAACCATGATTTTAAATGAATGTTAAAGGTTTAGTTTTCAGTTCACTTTTGTCTGGTTGTGACCCTGACATAGTCAAATTAATCTGAGCACTTGTTTCTACTGCTGCTGGAGAAGAAATGATAGCAGAGAAAGTGGTGCTTTGGTTAGAAACAACAAATCCATGCATGGATTTCCATTGTGGTTAATACACTGAGAACATGGGATAACCAGGCTAAGAAGCTTACAGCTGTGGTTGGTTTTAAAGTAAACCTCAACAACAGTCAGTATTTAACCGCACATACATGTATTTCTCCTCCACCATGCTCTTTGCTCTCACCTCCACACTGGTTGGCGTGGGAGTCCTGTCCAACAAGTTGCTGTGTTCGTGGTCTTCACACATCCCCTCTGACGTCGGCGTCTGACCCAAGTAGAACAGCTTCCTGAGGTCCAACAAAACTAGAACAGGACAACACATTAATAAAACCACCACTTTAGTTTTGTAAACAAGTGTCATCTTAAACTTCTTTGAGAGAGGATGAACTAACCTCTGCAGAAGTCTCTGTTCCATAAGAAGATGGCGCTGTTGAGCCCAGCAAGCACCCAGCCCAAAGGAGCAACATAGAGCAGACACACCACTATCAACAGCACTCCGTAGAACCTGCAGGGGAAACATTGGAAATGTCCCATTCAAAGCTGTGCATAATTGATCAGACACGACATTCCCACAGTGAGTGTGTTTACATTTAAAGCAGTGGAGCTGTAACTACTGACCTCGGCCTCAAATGAGGCTAAAACATGCTATTGCTATTTGTAACAGAGTGTCTGCAGTCACAAGCAGTGTTTACGTCAACTCAGCTGTGATTATTCTTTCTGGTTCAAGACAACCTTATAGCCAAACAGAACTAAATCAACATGTAGCGTCACTGAAGGGCACACACTGTTGGCTTGTTGCAGAAATTTGCGCCAGAGTGTCTCCCTGGCTTCCGTATGTTTGAATTCTCATAAGTCTTCATTCTGCGTAGGCTCAGAGCTAAATCCAGAATCGTAGTATTTTAATTACTAGTTCTGATTACGTGATAAAGAGCACAGCACAACAAAGGCGTGAGGTCATCAGAAATTGCTACAAAATGTACATTTATTCATTTACATTCATGAGCTAAACAGATGTAATGATCAGTGACTCTGTTTTGAAGCAATAATGACTTAGCTACATGTTAAGTTCATGTATGGATGTTCATGTATGGTTGTGTGTGTGCAGATGCAGACCTTGATGACTTGGTGTGATTATCCCAGTACAGGACTTTGTAAATAGCTTCTGCTGACTGACAAGCAGAGGACAGCATGTCATCCAGATGCTTCAACCTGGTGAAGATAGAAAACACCCACAAATACAATAAGACGCTATAAGAACAAAGATAAACTTTAACTCATACATGAACAAATAGCACGTGCAAATGTCATGCATACCCGGGAAGCCATAGTTTTGTATACTGTTTTTTTTTTTCAGTTAAATAATCTAAGGTTTCTTTATCTTTAAACTTTATAATGGTACAAAACAAAAAGAATAAGTAGATTTAAAGTCAACTTGTGGAGTCTGTGACCACTGGCAGAACTGTAAGACATTGCATTCATGATCAGGGAGCACAGACGGTGGTGTTTTGTCTGAGTTTTTACGTCAAGATCGGGCATGAATCAAAAAACACTCAAAAGACAAGTGCACACATGTAGACAAGCTCCACATATATAAATAGAGCACATTACAGCTGAAGCAATTAGTCTATAAATGTAATAGTTGATTGAATGGTTTTGGACTGTTGGGCAGGCCGGACATTTGAGGATGTCCCTGGCATTCTTCACAATTTATTAACTTATTCAGAAATGATCAATAAATCATGAAAATTATCAGCAAATTAATTATTAATGGCAATAAACATTAGCTGCAGTGAACTTCTTACAGGTCTTTCACTTCCAGCATGGCCTCCTGCTTGGTGAGGTGCACTGTCTGCAGGTCTCTCCGGTGCACAGCATGATAGCGCCTCTTCTGGAGCTCAGCTTCAGAAGCTCTGCCCCCACACCTGTCCTGCAGGTAACCCAGGGCAGCAGGCGCCGATACCGCCACCACAGTCACGGTGAACCAACCAACTGATACCGGAGAGGTAGACAGAAGAACAAGTTAATGAATTATTCAGGTGTCTTATAAAGCACCACAATAAAGCAGGATCAATATTAATGCCTAATGTCACACCTTACCTTCATTAACTGTGCAGAAGAAAACATTAAGGAATATACAAACAAGCAGAGAGCACAGTGGCATCTTCCATCTGAAAGATAAAAAAAGGAGATGATACTTAAATGCTCTAATATAAATATGGCTTTCCACTTAAGGCCAAAAGCAACTATATTATATGATGCTGATACAGGCCACAAACACATATACACACCCGAGCAGGTAGCGGCTGAGCTCCACTGCATCTGCAACAGGTTCAAGAAACAAAGCCATCCTCTTATAGGACACAACCATGTTGACGAGGTCAAAGTTTGGTGTGCAGCGAGGGCTCCCTAACTCAGAGGCGTCTGGAGACCCGGCGGTCTCTTTAGATAATGAGTGTACCAGCTCGCCCCGCTCCCCTGCACCCTGCGAGGGCTCCTGGAACGCTCCGGTACTGTGCATCGTCATTCCTGGTCAGAGTAAGGAAAAAGAAAGCAGACAGGAATCAGTAAGGGAAATTACTTCAAAAGACAAAAAAGAAACATGACCCCCGAAAGACACAGGTTCTGGGTCACACAAACTTTCCAACAGAGAGGGCAGCCTTTACAGTGTAATGCTAAAGTAGTCTTTAATGTGTTATTAGGAGTAAATAGTGTCTAATAAAAAAAAACACTCTATGTAGTATAAACTAAGCAGTTTAAATGGGCGTTCCTGATGCAAAGGCAACATTTACAGTAACTAATGTGTGTGAGCTACAACGAGGAGTGTCGTCGACTTAAACAAATGTGTAAGACATACAGCGCACACAACAGAAGAGAGAACGCCTGTGGATTACACCTCTGCATCATGGCTCTGCAACAAAAAGCACTGTAAGAGGAATTTGAAAATCTGACTGTGAGACTTCACAAAGATGGAAAGGGACAACAGACGAGCTATGATCAACTAAAAAGTAAGTGAAATGCAGTTGAGGTATTAAATGCAGCGGTCATCCTTTCTAAAATTACTCCGTAGACAATGCGCTACGTGCACAATCTAGTTTTACATAAACCGACAGGCAAAGTGCTTCAGACCTGGCACAGGAGTTATCACTGGAAATCTAACTTTCTGTTCCAGTGTGAAGGACGATGCAAAACATCCACCTCTGTGGGCAATGTCAAAGAACAAAACCCTGCTTGCTCTTCAGCACAAAACTGCAGGATGAAACTTTGCTTGAGAACATAAAAATAAACCTGGTGAATATTGGCAGCACATAAATTTGTTCAGGGTCCAGCATTTTTGGTGTGAGCCCGGCCAGAACTACCACAGTAAATGCATAGTCCTAACAGTGAAGCAAAAAGGTGGCAGCAAGATGATAGGGAGCTGCACGGTTGCAAAAATTGTTGGACAACTACATTTATAGATGGCACCATGTCTTCCTGTGCATATACCAAGATACTGGCTGACAAGATGACTCCCGGTGTGCAGAAACTTGGCAGAAGGGAAATATTTCAGCATGACAACAATCCAAAACACTCTGCCAAAATCACACAAGCGTGTCTAAAGGAGAAAAAAAAAAAAGTAATAACTACAAGCTGGCCAAGTGTGTCGTCTGACTTGAATCCAATAAAACACATTGGGGGCATTTTTTGTTGTTGTTGCAAAAAAAGGCAAAGCAAGATTCCTTCAGAAATGTGGTATCCTACATGTCTAAGAAAACTGAGTGTCATCAAAAATAAGGGTGAAAAACTAAAAGACATGAATCTTAGTGATGAAATATGTAGTGATGTTTGTTGCACTGACTATCCTACTGTCTGACTATTAGCTTTTAATTACACATAACAGCAAATACGCTGCTGTTCAACTTAGAAGTGAAGCAATTTGGAATTATTTCACATTTGATATTGCACAGGCTTGTACTCACTTCTGTTGTATGTTGGAAGAACTAATGAACGCATGACTGAGTTAGGTTGGGCTCATTAGGGTGGATTCATTTTCACTGTTATGGTGCCTAATTTACCCTTCAAAATAAATGTCTACATACTACTTCTACTTTAGTACTTTTTAAATTTATCAGTAAATATACTCAGCTAATGCTCCCCACGCCCCATTGCTGTCGTGTTTTAGAAAAGTGTGAAATTTAACAATTTTTAGTGACCGTAAATCTCCAAAGAAACCACACGAAGCAGCATCTCAATAAATCAGCGCTAGCCGCTGTGGCCTGCGAGATGCTGTCAAACTGGAAAGTTAAGTCATGTCGTGTTGGCAGGACAGCAGCACTGTGAACACTGTATGTCACCGACGCTTCAGTTTTGATAATATTAGCTGCTGGGTATAACGGAGATAATTTACCCCGAGCCGAGTGTCCAACAACAACCAACTTGTGAAGCAGCAGCAGCGGCGGCGGCGGCGGCTGAGAGGAGCTCAGGCGAAACTAGCGAGTCCTTCCGACATCATGAGCCCGGAGGAAGGAAGAGCCTCCAAATCCAAGCAGCTCCGTCAACATGACAGCAGCCAGCTGTCCTGCAGGAGCAGCGACCCGTCAAAACCAGGCGATTTATAAGACTGCCCTGCTGTCTTGGGGGGTAGAACCGCAGGGCGAAGCGGTAATGTTGTTAATGGACGAGCTATCTTTGTTAGCTTCGTCTCGATCTCAGTACGTCCGCTTCCTCGTTTAATCCAGGCCGAGTAGTGGATGGCAGAGACAGCGGGGCGATGCAGTCGATCACAGAGCAGGATGATCGTTCATCACAATTGAATGTGTTGAAGTGATTGTGGCTATTTTATAAACTCTTTTTCTTGTGTGTAAAAAATAAATTAATCTAGCATGGTATCTAATAGTCTTGCGAACATCTGCTTAAAAATGGAATTTATTCCAATTTAATGACAATTAAGACAAATAATTTGCTTTCAGTGTAATTTTGCCTCAAATTATTCTTTTGCAGCTTTCATATCAAGTTGCAAGTTGTGATATATGATCATGTTAATAGTTTAAATTATATTTATTGTGAGTGCAGAGGAACTTACCTTCTTAAACAGATGAATGTGAAAACAGAGAGCCCAATTCCTCAAAAGTCATCTGATCAGATTTCAGCTATCAGATCTCATCAAAGCTTTAAAGTGGGGCTATTCAGAAGACAAAGGGGGGTGGTTCTGGAATCTGATTAGATCATGTAATCTGGTCTTGGGTTTAATCAAACCTTCAGTAGGTATTGTTTTCAGTAGAATAGAAATACCTGAAATTAAAAAAATAAAAAAATCTCCTGAACTCAGCAGAAGCCTTGATTCAGAGCTGATATCAGAAACAAACATAGTAAAACTCAAAACCTTGTCAAATATCATAACATTTGTATCATGTAGGATACATACATTCATTTATGTTTTCCACTTGATCTCTATAATCATTACAGTGATGAGATAAAGTGGACACGAGGCTAGCTAATAAACCTTTACATACCGTAAAACGAAAGAAGATCATTTTTTCCTCATAAAATAATCCCAACAAACAGCTGTGAGTATCAAACAAGAACTATATTTATAATTTTATCTGTTCTTCTTTTGCCTCCTAAAAGGCAATCTCTCCACAAGTGAACAAAAACTGAATAGTATTATTTTTTCAACTGCTGTACATTTAACCATTTTACGTTTCAAAACAAATGTTTAAAATCCACAGTGAATTTGTTAATAACATATATTTCTTTGTTTCTATTTGTTGTGGGTCAGATGAGGAGGATGACTTCACTGTGCTGTTTTCTGTTTCTTTAAATTAAACCACTTAATGTGAGCCCATGCTGACCGTTCTACCTGTTGATCTGTATGTAGCTTTTAGCCAACATTGTGAATTGTTGGACATAATTCTGCACAGTGAAGCTCAAACATCCAGGAGACGTAACAATAAGAGAAAAAACACTGATGGGTAGAGGGGGACTTTAGTAATAACCTCATTACTAAGCAAAAATGAGGAAAAGAAGAAGCGAACTTCAAGCTAACCACAGCCGCTGCAGTTCATAAAGAGGAAACTGTCTCATGTGTCATCTGTTACATGTACTCTGCTGAGAGGATAAAGAGCTGAAAGTCAATGTCTCTGAGATATTTAAACTAAAACCCAGCAGCTGTGAAAGAGCTGTTTGAGTCAGCCTGTCTTCACATTTGTACTCTGCAGCTGTTTGTTGAGAAACAACAATGATAAGAACTGACATAACCTGCACACACAATTACCCACATTGCCTCTATTTCATTGTTAAAGCATCCAGTCAACAGACAGGTAGGCCGTTTTGGTAGGCCGACTATCTCTTGGGACACTGGGGAGATTCAATTAGGCCTGAATGCAAAGCAGCTACAGCAAGAACCTCATCAATTATAACTTCATCACAGAGCAGCAGCTGGCTCTTCAACATGAGCACATGTAAGTAGATGTGATGTGTGAGATGCAAACTTTTAGTGGGTGTGTGTCTGAGACAAAGGGTGATGGTGGGGAGGGGTGTTGTTTTTACCAAAGTCTATATAGAATGTCTTGCTGGTTATTGTACGGACAGGAGTACAAATTTCAGAAACGTGTTGACTGATAATAACCTCTTGATAACTGCAATCGCACCACAACTCAAGAAAGCTCAACTTCCTGCTGTTGAAATGACCTGTTTGAAAATACAGTTCGATGCATTTTGTCACTAAATACTAATCAGCTTTCTGAGCACATATGCTGGTAATGTGAACATTAACTTTGTCCTTAACTTTGTTGTAGCGATGTGATCTTTGCCGCCCTCTGTTGGCAACCTGATCGTCTTCCAGTTATCTTTCTTATGCTGTTTGATGTCATGTCAGTTGAAAAGATGAGCTTTCACATATTCTGTGTAAATCTGCATTTGATAGCTCCTTTTAAAATGACTAGTATGATGATCTGAACCAGGAACTTAACTTACTTTGTTACTTTACCATTTTGATATTAAATACTTAATCAGTGAATAGGCTTAGGATGTCCATTTTCTAATCAATTTATTAAGCCAATAACATTATTTTCCATAGTATAGTCACAATATAATTCATATTTAGAAAGCACAAAAACAAATAATTACAAAAACATGACTAATTAGGAAACACAAACTGGCCCAGCCAGTGACTTCCTTTAATAAAAATCAGAAAGCAAGTAAGAAAAATGGCACTTTGAAAAACACTAAAAGGCTTCAGATTACAGCTGAACAGTCACATACAAAATGGTAACCTCGGTGATCATATAGGTACTGAATGAAATGAAATGAAAAATACTTTATTTATCCCAGAAGGGAAATTCAGAATCTGGATCATTTCTACTGACATAAAGCTAATTACACTGAAAAAATATAGACGCAGCATGCAAATAGTGTTTGTTTCTAACTGTGTGAAAAACATTACACTGGTTATACTGTTGTGGTTGGAAAAGGGTTAAATTTAGCCAATTCTGAAAAATAAATAAAAAGTTAGTTGTCTTTTTTCTTAACACAAATTCTTGACCACTGAGTTAATCCACATCCTCGTCAGGCCGGGGCTATCAAGGACAATGATCAGATAGTGCGACCAGGACAAAAACACTTTGTTGACCAGTGACTATGAAAGACCACCTTAAAATGGAGCTTTATTTGAATGACACAATGCCACAGATGACAAAAGAAAGACATGAAGAGTAGCCAGGCACTTGAATATCCACAACTCCACCATTTTTCACTTAAGAAATTCTTTCAGACAATAACCAACAATCTCTGGATTGACGCGTCCGACAATATGATCCTGTTCCTCAAAAATGTTTGTCAGCTTCAGAGAGCCCTTCGGGAATATTTCACAAGCAGCATCGAAAGCATCAGTTAGTGTTTGTGTTGGAGATGTGTGGCTGGATAATGACTTGTGATTTCTGGTCTATCACCCCACTCTTGATCGGCCCATTACCATTTCCACAACAGTCATACTTGGTTGCTTCATGAAGTCCATTCTGTTGTAGGGATGCCGAGTGTTGGAGCAACAAATTCTTATTCCCCAAGGGTACAAAAACTAATAGACTGAGTTTAATAAAGTAATACATGCTGCGTTTATATTTTGGTTCAGTACAAATTTATTCAAACCAAAGAATGTGTCATTTTTGACAGTTGTTGCCTCAATATGATACACTTAAGTTCTTAGAATTAGTTAAAAGGCTGCTTTGTGGGTGAGTCACTGTAAATCAATACTGTCTCAAAGGGAATTAGGATAGGAGTTGAAATTAGTCCCGGAGAGACTCCAATATGATGATCCACCGTAGAAACTCATGATGCATCCTTGTACTTGGGAATGTTGTTTTCTGCATTGCTATTCTTTTACACTGGATTCCTGAAGCTGTATATCAAGCAAAATTATCAGATATCTGTCCAGCTTCACAAATGCAGACTGTAAAACTCTCCAAAATAGATTTTGTACAGAAAAATATCAAATTTAAACATAGTGAGCATTGCATAAATCAGCTGTTTACACCTTGAATAAAGAAGTCCCACTCTACTGTAGCTGCTTGCTGTGAGAACGCTGGTGGAATTTAAGCCCCCCGCAGTTTCTGAAAGACTTCCCACACTGTCCACAGATGTAAGGCTTCTCTCCAGTGTGGATGCGGAAGTGTCTGGTTAACGCCCCAGAGTGCCGGAAACACTTGGAGCACACCGAGCAGGTATACGGCCTCTCACCGGTGTGGATGCGAAGGTGTGTCTTGAGGTTCTCCATGCGGTTGAACTCTCGGTCGCACTCCGTGCAGCGGAAAGGGCTGCAGCCCGGCGGGTAAAGCTGCAGTCTGGTCCTCTTGTTTCCCGTCACGGGTTGCGGACATCGCTGCTGGATCCTCTGCTGGCACTGGCTGTGGTGCCGCCGCAGCAGGCTGGGCAGGTGGAAGGTCTGACCGCAGGACTTACAGGCGTAGAGGGCGGCGACAGCGTGGCTGAGGCTGCGGCCGGTTCGGACATGGACTCCGTAAACCTGCGGAGGAGCTTCTGATATGGGAGCTTGTTCTGCCAGCTGGAGGATGTTCGGGAAGTCTGAGGAAAGAGATGGAAGATCTGAGGGTGGCGGGAGGTCGGTGGTCAGGTTTGGAGGGTGAGCTGTTGAAATAAACCAGATGTGGAGTTAAAGTGGAGGAAATGTGGAGGAACAATCCACCATATATACAAAAAATATGCAGTATATACATGCAGTAAATTCATATATCTGCACACTGGCCATCATCCATCCATCCACTGTCTATACAACATTTAATCCTCACTAGGGTAGCAGGGGGCTGGAGTCTATCCCAGCCGACTTAGGGCGAAGGTAGGGGACACCCTGGACAGGCGTCCCCTGTCTTCTCCCTGAGTCAGCTGGGATAGACTCCAGCACCCCCCGTGACCCTAGTGAGGATTAAGCGGTGTATAGATAATGGATGGATGGATGATTGGTTCAAATTCGAGATAGAAGCCTCTGTAATGTGTTAACAGTAATCACAGCCCTGCTTTATTGTTTTTATCATCTTGGATCTCAAACAGTGCAGCCCTCCTCCAGCCTAAATGCTGTTTCCAAACATTTTCCCACCTCAACATGAAATATCACTCATTCGAACAGTTATCTTCAACTCATATTAAAAGTTGGCGCTCACTGTTTTCCCTCCTACCCTGATCCAGTCCAGCGCTGCACAGCCGAGCGTTTGGGTCTTGGATATCCGGCACTTCTGGATTCCACTCCTCCAGCATTTTGGACTGGGCTGCAGACATACACTCTAAACTAAAATCCTCCACTTTAATGGAGTCCAAGCAGCACGATGAACCATCCCTCTCGTCCTCTGGCTTCTCCTGCTTTACAGTAACCTGCTCCAACGTGGACTTGTTGTCAACGCTGGGAAGCGGTGGCGAGTTGCAGTCTTGAGCTTGTGGGTGTTGACACGGCAGAGTCATGCTTTCTACCTTCACTGCACATGTGTGCAAAATGTCTTCAGTGACCTCTGTAAAAAAACAACAAAAAAACAATAGATACAAGCACTGAGCGAAGGAAAATGTTTCTTTAAAAGATGTAATTCATAAATACTGAAACAAAAAAACAGAACTTTTTTACATTTCAAAGTGCACATTCTTATGAGTTACAGATACTCAGTGTTCATGTGAGAGCCCTTTAAGTGAACAAGATAAGTACATTGCTGAGTTTGGCCGATCCACTAAAACACCTCTTAAGTTATTTATTAACTTAAAGGAGGGAAATATGAAGAATTTGACCCAAGCCTAATAGACCAACAGCAATTCTAAAATGCTTCATTTGTGTCTCAGTCTGTTTTTAGATTAAGTATTTTAATCAGGGAAGGTATATGAGACAGCGATGAGTTTTAAACGAAAGAAAAATGCCACCGTATCGGAGGAGATGTAATAAGGGACTTTGACGCTTAAAGTTGACGTTTTTATGCAATATTATTTAGTGGATTTTATTAAAAATGTCATTTTTTTTGATGAGACGATTGCTCAAATCTGTGCCGTAGCCACTGATTGTATTACAGACCACAACCTTTTGCTTATTAATGACAAAGACAGAAAGACAGAGGTGATTGTTTGGGGGACCAAAATACTTCAGTGACCATCACCAGCCACCAATAGCCGACCTACAAGCTCATGACAGATATTCTGATGTTTCTTTTGACTCAACTCTGAGTTTTGATGAAGAGATTAACTCTCCTTCAACTGAAAAACACTGACAAACTGACATCAATCCTCCATCAATGCTTTCACTTCCTCTAGGCTGGATTACTGTAACTCCTCTCTGTTTTATCTGCAGCTGCTGCAAGGCTGGTACTGAAATATTAGAAAGCATCAGTACTGTATTATCTTCCCTGCACTACCTGCCTGCTATATTGATTTGTTTATGGACACATGCACGGGTCGGCACCCGGATACATTTCAGAACTTCCATGATCGAGGCTTGTGGGGGAAATAAGGTCGGGCCTGTGCAGCAGCAGCTCTAAAGCTTTGGAATAGCCTTGCTCTTAAATCAAATGTTCCTCCTGCATTTAAAAAAATCTCATGACTTGCATGTTTTTGCTTTTTCTTCGTGGTCTTAATATTCTAGATTAATGACTTTCTACATCGAGCACCCAAACGTTTGCAAAGTGCCAAAAAATAAATAAAAGGAAGATAATATTACAGAGAACAGAGAGAACCAGTCAGGCCAAACAGAGAAACAAGAACAGGAGAAACAGAGTTGAACACAGTCAAAGATACAAAATGAAAAACAGAATTTCAATACAAAAAATCCATTTAAAAAAAACTCAAACTCATAAAAAAAAAAATAAATAAATAAAGGAATAAAAGCACCAAAAATGCCAATGCACTTTAAAGGAAAGAAAAAATATGGATAAAATGGAAAAGATGGATTTTTTTCTAAAAGAGAAAATGGACAACAGGTTTTACAAAACTATTTCAAGAGTTTACTGATTCCCCAGCTTTATCTTCTCACGGAGGTCGTTCCAAAACAACTGATGGCAAAAGCACAGTCACCTTGGATTCAAGCCTCGTTTATTTTAGTGTCATTTTGTTTTACAAAATCATTAAGTCTCTATGCTGACTTTCTTTTTGCACATAAATTGCTGCCTCTCTGATAACATGTACAGCACTACAATGTCCTATTATGTAAATAACCTTGATTAAATACAATGTAAAGAAGGGGACCAGTGTTTGCACACCAGCAAACCAGTTAATAAAGCGTATCAGGGCAACAAGTAACAGGTGTCCATGTCTAAAATTTCACACGTGTATTTACACAATGTGTGAACAGTTGAGCTGTTTCAGTGCTTTACCTTCATAAATGTACTGTAAAGTGACCTAGACAGCACTAAACAGATCAAAGACAGTACAGGGGCTGCTACATACCATTAGTATATCCATTATTTCGTTCCCTCTCTGCATCTGCATCATTGACACATTGTCTCTTCACATCACTGCTTGATGTCTGTTCATTTCTGCCCATGTGTCTCTGTTGGGAGTTCAGAGGCTGATGTGCAGGAGGAGATTCACCTCTGACCCCCGTACAGCTGTGAGCAGGATTTGGGCTTTTCTGGCTACAATTAGGGTAAAGCGGTGGGTCTGCGCGCTTTGTGCCATTAAAGAGTTTCTTTGCAGGAGGAGGGCTGCTACATCTCCCCTCTGTACGCACAGAGTCCAACAGAGCCTCGGCTCTCTGCAGCCTTTGTTTCAGGGACTCGTTCTCTCGGCGCAGCTCTCCGTACATGTCGCTGGTGGCCTGAACAACGAGCTGTTTCACCTCCCGAACTGCGACCTCCACGGCGACTTCAAATGCGCCGTGTATGGCAGCAACCAGCTCCTCCTGAAAAGACGCAGAGTCCGTTACGCACGGCCACGTTTTGGTGCCAATCGGCTGCGGCTTCATGGCGCATTGGCTTTAAAATTTAAAACTCCCTGCGGATAAAGGTTTTTTTCTCTCTCTTTTTCTCACGGATGTCTGGTGGTGATGCTGCCTGTTTTTAAGTCAAGTGAAAGGTTTCACTTCCGCTGACAGCATGCGACACCTGCTGGTGCGAAACCTGAACTACACCAAGTTGTGTGGGAAAAAAAAAGAAGACGAACTGGAATTAAAGTTTATTTTATTGACAAAACATATTTGATGGTCCACATGGCACATTTAACAGCAGTGTAAATGATGCGTCTTCCACCAGTCAAGGCCTGCGGGTTTTATATTCATCTACGTGGGAAAGAATCCAACCAGAAGGTCCGAGGACGGTCAGAGTCATCACAGTCAGGACGAAGGCAGACTCCTGCAGGACAGCATGGCACTACTTTACCAACATGCTTAGGAAAAACAGTTCAAAAGCTTGATAATTCTCAATTCCTGACAAAAAAAACAACAACAAAAAAAAAAACCTCAAATACATGGCTCATCTTTAACTTACCATAACACCGATTTTATCTTTAGGTGGTTTGTCATGAATGTAAGTTGCTCGCTGTTGGACACCTGTCCTGAGAGCCAGAGCCCGTGGAGCCTTCAGCAGGCCAGCAAAGAGTCCACACATGTTGGCTTTTAAAGTAAAAAGAGCCATAATAGCTCAGAGAGTCTGAAACAAGAGAAACAACCGTTTAATGAGGAGCAGGATGTTTATAAGTGGTGGTTTCTTACGCACCTGTCCACTGGTCTTAATTAGCCATGTTGCCTTCAGGTGCCACAGGAAACAAAATAAAACTTGAATGGAGGTCAGTTTCTGAAGCACTGTCAGCCAGTGTTGATTCAAGAAGATTATCAGCCTGCCAATGGCGATGATTACTGCTGCCGACTTATGACTGAAATTAGGGATATTGTGCAATACACATGGAGAAGTAGGATGGTCTGTTGGCCTGCTGGAATCTACCATGTGAGTTAAGGTCGTAGCCAGGCACCCAAATATCCAAAACTCAAGTATTTGTGGTCTAAGAAATCACTTCAGAGAGCATGGAAGGACAGGTAATCTGCCACATGATGCTCTGGATGGACATGTCTGGCAACGGGATTCTGTTCCCCGCAATATCTGCCAACTTCACAGAGTCCTGGAGGAAGAGCGGGACAATGTTCAACAGGTCTCACATGTGTGACTTGTTAATGACTTGTGATTTCTGATCTACGACTTCAGTCTCCATCTGGCCATTATTATTTCTTGGATATGTTGTATGTTGAAATAACAAATTCTTACTTCCCTATGTTGAATAGAATGGATAGAAGTTAATAAAACATTATATGCTCTATCTATTTGTTCAGTATAAGTTTTATTTTCAAACATTCTGAGTACTTTCTTACCACTAAACAAGCACCACTATATTTACCACCACTACACATAAAAACAGTCTGTTCAGGTGGGAAAATGGGTGACTAATCATCATCATCATGCTGAATCATCCATTCATGCTTCAATAAACATTTCTAAAGTCCCCTGATAGCAGCTCTCTATGTGACCTACAAAGCAGCCATCCTCTGTATTACTTCAGCTTTACTAACGTTGGGCCTTTTGGTTAAAAGACACACTCACTCTTTGAGAGCTGCTTAGTGTACCTGAATGACTTCACTCCATTAATCTCATTTCTAACAGACAGTGTTGGAAGACACAGATTAACAGGCTGTCACAGTTAATGGAACACTATACAAATGAGGCCTGGCTTCATATACCTCGGATCAATCTGACCTATGAAATATTTGTCAGCAGACCCCTGCTTGCTCCATGTACTGTAGAACAAACTTTTAAAAGGTAATATTCCAGCTGGGGCACCAAAAAATACTGTAATATAATGGAAAACTGTCTCCTAAAATCCTGTGATTCCCCATAATTTAAGAAAAAGCTTGTAGATTTAATTTTGCATGAAACCGTGTGTGTTTTTTTGGCTTTTTGTTGTTTAATGTGGACTATAAACAATACATGTACGTACAAATACAGACGAATAATGTTATATTATCAATTATACGGTGTAATCCTGCAGAACGGTGGCGTTATTGGTTGGGTTTTATTATATAGTTTTATTAAAAACTACACTTTTTTACAGTGTAGCTTCTATTTGTTCTTCTATTCAGACTGCTTTTCCTCTTTCTCTGTCTTATTTACAGCCTGACTTGTTTTGAGCACCTTGGCACTCACATCATAAGCCTGATTACACTTTGATTACTGCTTTATACGCGGCTCCGTGCGCCACTGACGCGTCAGTCGGAAGTGGGTCGGCTCAGCATTAGTGGGTTAGTGGGAAGGTAGTCTGGATGCCGGTTCAATAATCAGGCTGTCTGCCTGTAGTGCATGCTTAGTTTTTGTCACATTCAGACCACAGAGGTAAGAAACTCCCATTATTCTACCTGGAATACTTGTTAGTGTAGAGTAAACTTACCTTTTTACTGAAGTGTATCAGTGGAGATGCTACATGAGACAAAGTTGGTGCTACTGGAGATTTAAATGTGACCTAAAACTAAAAAATGAGTGGACTATAGCAACAACAGCTAATTAATATGGTAAAGGAAGATTTTTAAAGCATGCAACATCACAGAATAACAGTCTGCTTCTTATCTATTCTATAGCAGTGATCAATTAAAAAATCCTCTCCAAAGTATTAGTTTGTAATGAAACAGTAAAAGAAGCTAACCACTACAAACACGGCTTGTTTAAACACTTTTGGATTCTTAAGAGAAGTATGTGTGCGACAATTTATTGATAGGTTTAAACTAAATTTTAGAAATAAGCATCTTCAGGTGTGGATCGTCATGACAACAACTGAAATCACAAGCAGATTAACCGATTTGTTTGTGGATTTGTCATCTTTAAAGCAAAAAGTACACAAAGTCAACCTGCTTCAGCTTCTCAAATGTAAAGATTTTTTCTCATTTTCTGATCTAAAATTCAATATATTGAGGTTTTCAACAGCAAGTTGGACAAATATTCACTATGATGAGATTTTAATACAATTCAAAGTCTTAATAATGAAAACTGTTTGTTACAGTCTGTGTTTGCACATGCACGAGTGTTACCTTTTCCCTACATTCTTAACCATCAACACTCAAAAATAATGAGATAAGACTTTAGCAAACAGGAAAGGCTGTCTGAGGTAACTAGGTTTTCTGGCTGCAGCCGTGGAAATATGTGTGTGCTGGACACAGGATTTGCGTCTGGGTGTGATCTCTTTATCTTTGTTTTGACTGGTTTGGAATCTTTCCTTTAATTCTCCTCCTCTTTCAGCAGATCTTACCTACCAGTCAGTGCTCCTGCCTTCGCTTCACATCAGTCTCCTGTCCTCATACCAACCGGCAACCTCTCCATCCGGGTAACATGGCAGAGGCCCTGGAATCTGGCTCCACTGAGGATGGTCAGACTATGCAGTGGAAATTTTCCATGCGACGAAGCAGGAAGTCTGGCTGCTCCAACATCTTCACAGGGGTGAACCTGCACCAGCTGCACAGGCTGTTCAGAACAGCGGGGGACAGAAACGCTGAACATCGGGCGAAGCTGGTGTGGCGAGGAATGGATGCAGATATGGAGGGAGCAGAGGAGGAGAAGGAGGAGAGTGAGATGGCGAGAGAGGAAGAAGCGGGGCTGGCTCAGGCCTTGGTGGGGCTGAGAGTCCGAGCCAGAAATAAGGCAGGCATCAGAGTGGAGGGACATCGAGACCACAAGTGGCTCAGGGCATCAGGATATCTCAGGTACGTGGCATTATGAGCAAAACAAACTCAAGAAAGGTTGTAGAAAGTGCGGCTACATGCAGATGAAGAGCTTGGAGTGTGTCCTTTTATTTGCACCAAAATCTGCTCTCAGTCATGAAGAATTCCATCATCAGTTGACTTAACTTTGGGTCGAGAGTCTGCGTCTTGAAATGCAGTGTGTAAACTGTCATGTGCATAACAAATTCACCTCACGAGACTGTGTCCTCCTCTCTCTGCATACCACCACAGACACACACACACACACAGCTGTCACGCTTGGCTTTCCACATTCCTCACTGAGATGAAATTAGATTTGCTGGAGTAGTAATGAAGTGCCACAGAATGGTGAAATGTTGGTGTGAGTCCACATTGCAGTGCAGTATCAGCAAAACAGTGTACAGCCACATTTTTTAGCCTTTCCAGCAGCATCATTTTGGAGAGATGTGCAGTGTGGGATGATCAGTCTGCTAGTTGGTCCAGTAGTTTGGTTTAGATTGATTTATCTCTACAACTATTGTGTCTATTGTGAAATTTTGTACATTGTCATTCACATACTGTGTTTTTAATGTAGCAACATCATCGGGTAAAATTATTACAGGATGATGCCCCCAAAACCAACAATATTTCCATCAGCCTCAGCTGTAAACCATGATGCTGACTTAAATAATTAGGTGTAGCCTCACAGATCTGCAACAGCTGTGAACTCTTGTCTGATATCATGGTCTTATTTTTTATTGACACAATGCTGTGAGTTAAAGATCTATTTAAATGTATAGTTGGACAGTTTCCAATGTCTAAATTGCTACTTATTGGTATCCTACACACAAAACATTCATTTCACTGTCTGGGTGGTTCCTATTTTACTTTTAATTCCAGAAAAAGGGCTGCAAGGTGAATCAGTGGTTAGCACCGTTGCCTCGCAGCAAGAATGTCACTGGTTCACGTCCCGGTGAGGACACCCGGGATCTTTGTGCGTGGAGTTTGTGTGTTCTCCCTGTGCAGCGTGGGTTCTCTCCGGGTTCTCCGGCTTCCTCCCACACAGTCCAAAAACATGTTGAGGTTAATTGGTGATTCTAAATTGTCCGTAGGTGTGAATGTGAGTGTGCTTGGTTGTCTGTCTCTAAGTGTAGTCCTGTGATAGACTGCTGATCTGTCCAGGGTGTCCCCTGCCTTCACCCTAAGTCAGCTGGGATAGACTCCAGCCCCCCGCGCCCCTAGTGAGGATTAAGCGGTGTATAGATAATGGATGGATGGATGGATGGATTCCAGAAAAAGAAAGAAATACGCTGCCTTCTTAAAATTCTGCCATCCCAGAGTAGCAGTAAAGCTTGTGCAAGGTATCAGTCAATAATGCAGATTGTGTCCATGTGTTGTCATTTGCTCTGTATAGCTGCTGAGTCACAGCTACCATGAGTTCCTTTTTAATGCTTTGTTAAGTAATGGATGCCAGACACATCACTCGCTGACCCCAGAGAATTAGAAATATAAAGAAATTTGTGTCATTCCATCTAAAATCATTAAACTTTTAGAGCCATTTCTTCCCAATCATCTCTGATTTTCCAGATTTTTTTAAAAAAGAATTCTAAATTGGGATGTGTCTATTTGTGAAATTTGAGCTTGATATATCAGATACTTTGCAAGAAAACATTTTTTTTTTACAAACTGTCTGTCGACCTACTTTCGCCACATTTTTTTTTTTTTTTGCACATTGAAATTTGAGATGTTTGAACCACAATATCTCAGAAACTATTGAAAATAAAAGCCTGAAATGTTCACATTATTCCTCATTGCAAATTATCTATATCAATAGCTGACTTCTGTGTTTTATTAGTTATTTTGTTGATGGGACTTTTTGTGACAGCTTTTTTAAAATCTATATATTTTAACTCACCCATAATGAGAGACTATTTGAGCTACTTATCCAATATGGAAGATTTTCAAATCAATGGCATGATGAGAAATATCAGCGAACATCCATCCATTATCTATACACCGCTTAATCCTCACTAGGGTTGCGGGGGGGGTTGGAGCCTATCCCAGCCAATGAATGTTTTTGGACTGTATGGTGTGGGAGGAAGCCGGAGAACCGGGACAGAACCATGCTGCACGGGGAGAACATGCAAACTCCACGCAGAAAGATTCCGGTGCCCCCACTGGGACGCGAACCGGCAACCTTTTTGCTGCGAGGCAACAGTGCTACCAACTGTGCTACCAACTGCGCCACCCTGCAGCCCATCAGCAAACATTTCAGGCTTTTATTTTTAATAGTTCCTGACATATTGCTGTTCAAACTTGGCCTCAAATTTCAATGTTCAAAAAAATGTGACAAAACTGGGTCGAGGGGCTGTTTAAAAAAAAACAAGTTATTTCAGAAAGTATTGGATACATCAGGCTAGAATGTTACAGATACTATTTCTAACGTCCATACTTTATGATAGAAAAAAAAAACTCGAACATGGTTGAGCAGAAGGCCTGATTTTAGATTAAATGACCCATTTGTGACTTTGTTGTATTCCCTTTGTGAACTTTTTCATGCGGGAAATTATATGCTAATATGACCCAATTATAATTTATGGGCCTTTCATAGTTTATCTCAACGAGTGTCGTTTCTTGTCTTCCAGGATCGAGGAGTCACTAACTGGCTGCACTGTTGAAGACGAGGAGGCCGACAAAGTGCCAAGTTCGGGAGAATTTCTGTTGCCAAGTGAGGAGGGCATCTCAGAGAACCAAAATCCCTTCAAACCCTCATCGTGGAGGTTAGGCATGGCGAGGCTGGAGGGCGCCAGAGACTCTGAACGCTACCTTCACCACATTCTTCATTAAAGACTAACAGGAGTTTGGAATAACACACAGCGGTGGAAGATGCAAGGAAAGTGAAGTCATGAAATATAAGACTGCTTTTGGATGAAGAGACATTCTGCAGCTTTTACTATCATGTATTACATGTTAGACCTCGGCACAACCTACTGAACTCTGGTAAACCTGCTTGAGAGATTAGTCCACCAACTACTGAAGGACATTCAACTGTGTATGTGTGTAGGCTGTAGGCCATAGATTAACAAAATGGAGTCAAACGAGTAGTGTTTAAAAGGAACAGACTGTTGTGTAAAAGTGAAATTAAATTACTCATGTACAAATTGAATACAATATTTTGAATGTAGACCTACAGCAGGTAGGAGTTACCTGGATAGTTTTTATGCTAAATGGGACCATATACCATAAAGGCAAACTCATGCTTTCTGTGTGCCCACAAGGATACGTGTAATGTAAATCTCACCATCTAACCAAAGTCCCAAAGGGCTCAAACTTCTGACCAAATGGTGCTTAAAACAAATACTTTCAGAAGAAACTGTCAAAGAGATCCTCCATCATCCACAACTTTATAAGTCACCATTAAAAGAGCTGCAGTTGAAGTAGTAGCTGTCGGACTTTGGAGTTGTTTAATTTGTATCTGCTCTCTGCTGATGCTGCCCAGACACAGTAGAACATTCGAAATTCTCCAGAAATTCTGTGCGGTTTCAACCTCTGTTCTCCAAATACCTCAGGAATCACATTATCATGGTGCTACAGCACAATCTGTAGAAAGTGCAAAGTCACAGCCAGCTTTTTAGAAACATCCACAGGAGGCCTTTGTGTTCTTCTGTGTTCAGTACGAGGGGCAACAACAATCTGCGGACTGACACAGACCTTTGCTGGTATGAATAGAAACATATGCGTGTCCACTGTCTGCTTTCAAAGTCCGCATTGGTCACCCGGAAACCATGACTTGGTCTTTACACTAAATTAAAAGGTTTAAGAGCATGTTAAAAGCATTTTTAGCTGAGATGTTTGTTTTTTTTTTACTTAGCAGTGAAATGCACCAATAGTGATGCCGTCAATCACATTCTTTTTAAATCTCCATCCCTTTCACAGCCACTATTTTATCTTTTTTTTTTTTTACCCTTTGAAGAGTGGAAGAACCAGCTGACAAACTGTCACCTTTTGAGTTGATATGGTGAAGTTATTGTGTTGCCTATTTACCCCTCTAGTAGATACGGAACATTACCATTCATTTGCAGTTTTGTCTATCTGGCAAATGCAAATCCAATATTCTCTGTCTTTTATCACTGTTTTTGGTCTCCACCAACTCCTGTAAACTATCAGAGAGGTTCTCTCCAGTGTTTATCGTTTAGTTCCTAACTGTGTCTGCTGTTTGTTGTGTTCTGTTGGTTTGTCAGAGCTTTTTTTTCTGCAAGCAGCCAGAAATAAGTCTGACAAAAGCAATAACAGTGAACCAAAACAATAAAGTTGTAGGAAATAAAACTAAAACGATGAACAATCTATTAGCAGGAGGGAACTCCAGGGTTGGGTGATCATCATCTGTAGGTTTGCAACTATATGTGATTCCTGTCATTCCAAACATTAATAGAAAAAATAATTGATTGTAGCAGCTTTAAAGACATGATTCGATTGACCAGTGGGATGCTATTCTTTGACTAAATTACCTGAAGTAATTATAAACATTGAAAATCAACAGAATCCAGTCATCCAACGCACAGATCATCTGTATTAATGGAATATGTTTTAATTATAATCTATCATTAAATATTACATACAAATTATACAGTGCATTGTCACAAT